CAGAGATGTACTGAGCATCCTGTCCGCTCATTGGTCAGTGAATGAAACCTCCATTGATTGGTCCTCATCCAAGCGACAGCGATGAAAAGTTAAAAAAATATTTAAACTTTCTGGGATCGCGTCGCTGGGTCGCCTGTGCACGAGCGCAAAATTTCACACGCACATTTTTCACGTTTCGCTTAGTAGTAGGAGGGAGACCCGCGATTATTGTTTTGTCATGTATGTCTTATTGAAAATGAATGGAGGATAGGCTGTGTCGCATCCGGTGTGTCAATCCCCTAACAGTTGCTGTCACATGAAGAGACCGAATCATAAAGAGAAAGTCACCCCTACAAGAAATTTACTCCATTCCCACTTCATGTTTGATAAATGCAACAAATGCTGTTGCCTGGCAGAACGAGGGCGGAGCCCTAACAAATACACACAAACAGGCTCACAACAGCATTGTGACATCATAATTTACCAGCTACCATCATTGTGTACCTCTTAACCAAAAGCGGTGGCAGATTTAAATTCAAATGCAGTGCAGTTTATTCGTGAATAGGGCACAACACTGACCGTTTTAGGCAGAATATTTCAATTTTAACTAAGATGCACTTGGTTTTATTCTGTCAGCCTGAAGTATAGAAACCGTCTACAAAGCACCGTCAAGTTGTGCTCTCGGATCATTGGACTACCACTGCCAAACTTAACTTCTCAATGTGACCAGCATACAGGAAGTTTAGCACAGAAAATCATTAAAGACCCATCACACCCTCTTCATACTGTTTTCGAGTGGCTGCCCTCCAAACGCCGACTTCGATGCCCATGCTGTAAAACACAGAGGAGAAGTTCCTTTGTTCCAAGAGCTGTGCTTCTTCTTAATTCTCAGTGCAGATAGGGGGCGTGTGCATTTCTTGTATGTGTGTGCATGTGTATTTGTGTATGTGTGTGTGTGTGAGCCAAAGGTTTACTCATTGTTGGTCATTCACATGTGAGGTTATGACATGAATGCGTATATAGGTTTTATGGGTTTTACAAATGTGTAAATTGGTTGTGTTTTTAGAATTTAAAGATTTTAGTGCCCGCTGCTTCACAATGCTCTCTCGAATTGCCCCTCGGGGACTAATAAAGTTGTCTTGAGTCTAAAGTACAAAATTATTGACTACACGTGTCAACAGCACGATTAGACACACAGCAAAAAAAGTTGATTTGGGGATGAATTGCTCTTTAAACATGACGAATAATTTCTTGTGTTTTTATTCCACACCCATTCAGCTGCTAAATGTGCTGTTTAGTCACCTTCCAGCCAAATACATCTGGTCACCATTAGCTGAGTCAACTGGCGAGTGCCACAGCGCCATCTACAGGAGATAACATGCAACTAGTTTTCTTTACATGGATTGTACTGACTTTTTAAATATAGTAATTTTCAAAATCTATCTCATCATCACCACACACCACCACAGCTGCTCACAGAGCTTTTGAATTTCCATGTAGCTTTAACAAACAAGTTTGTTTTCGTTTACATTAGGACATGCTAATCATTTATCGTTTTTAGCTAGCAGCTAGTTAAAAATAACAATAAAAAGTTACATTTGAGAATAAACTATTTTGTGACTCTATAAAACACTGGTTAAATATGGCAGAAATGTCTAAGTAAAATAGGTAAAATATGCCCATTTTAGAACCTTGAGCGGGAAAAAAGTTGGGGTGATCCCAGTCTGTGGAACATCTATACGGAGCAATACAAATAACACAAACACAGATTTTTCGAAATACACTTTAAAAATATGAGTAAAATAAAAAAAATACAATATGACGAGCAAAAAATTATTTTGTAACTGAACCATTTTACTCATGAAATCAAAACAGATGTTTTAGAGGCACAGTATGCTGAAAGGTCAAAAATTAGGTGATTGTTTTGACAAACTCTTTTGAACTAGGATTGTCTTTCCAGAAAACTTTCATGAAAATCATTATCTTTTGTTGAAAATCACAATCTGACTGAGGTCATGTAGGAAACACTAAACAAAACTACAACATAAATGTTCAGACTCTGAACGTGATCGAAAAAATAGAACGGAAAAGCATTTAGGAAACTAAATCTATCAAATTGTACCATTAATATGGTAGTATATAAAACCCAGAAATGATCACATCTAAAAACTAAACACTGAACAATAAAAAATATAAGTAATCAAAAGGGGAGACTTGTAGTTCTTCCAAAATTCCTCATGCAAATATCCACTTTTAACAGCCTCTTCAGTAGTACAATTGTTTCATGAGGACTAAACTGCATAAAAATGACATAAAAAAATAATAATAAAAATAATGTTGTACATCTAATCTAAATTTATCAGGCTTGGACATTACTTTCAGTTTATTTCTGGCATCTACATTAAACTGTTCTTCAAAAATGTTTAGACCCAGTTATAGATGAGTTCAAAATAATTTAAGCTTGTTGGAGATTCAGAATGAAAAACTCCTCTTTTAACTATAATTAATGCATTTTATGTGAAGAAATACATTTTAACGTTACATTTGTTTGTGAACTATCCTGCAGCCTCAATAAGTTGACCAATGGGTTATGTTGTTAGCTACAATATAAAAAAAGAAATCTAAAACATCTAAGCTGAGCCATCACCAACGAGATCTTATTTCTCATCATTTAGTTGTGGAAGATAATAATAGTAGAAGAATTCTTCCAGCTTTTTCTTCAAGCATTTGATGGGTGTCTCATCGCGGTAGATGCGCTGGACCAGCATGTCGCTTGTGGAGTGCACCAACAGATCGCACCACATCATGCCAGTAACCATCAACTCTCCTTGGATGTGCCAGTAGTGCCAGTAGCTTTGCTTCAGCTGAATGCCGCACTCCCAAAAAGCCAGAAAAGAACATTCAGTATAGCTATTGCCTTCAACGTGTATGGTGTGCAGCAGTCCAAAGACGTTCTTCTCTTTGGGATCATACACCACTCCATCGGGAAATGCCCCCATCCATGGAGCATGCGGAGGGATGACCAAACCACAAGGGTACAAGTTGACACACAAATTGCGACAATATTCTCGAGTAGCCTCAAGCTTCAATTCTTCCGGTCCTCCCTGGCCACTTAAGATCTTGAAAGTTCTGGGTTTGCCATGCCGAATCTTAAACACTAGCTTGTCAGCGTTGCTTCGTCCTGGTTTCAGCTGACTGATTTCTTTGAAACGGCCGATCAAGCGCATCTTCTCCAACTCCTTGGCAGACTGTTTGCGTCCACGAGTGGAACGCTCCAGATTATGTGCTTGTTCCCAGCTGACATACATGTTGTTAAGATTGTGCTGCTCCTGAGCACTGAGAGTAGGAATGTCGGAAGCTTGCTCCAGTATGCGAGAAAACAATGGGAGATCTGGTTGAGGGGGTGCATCATCATGTACTATGAAATCCTTAGCTGACGGTACGGGGAACTGGTAGGACAGGGGAGAACCTTTTGGGACTTCCCCAAAAGCACACTGTACCATTTCAATATCTGCTGTCAGGTTCATTTGGGCTATCATGGGTTTCTGGTCTTCAGGAAAATCTTTGTAGCTTTCATGAAGCCGGGATAAGAAGGACATTTGTTCATCCTTGGAAAGTATCAGAGACTTGTCGATGATCATTCTGTATGGAAAAGTTTTCCAAACAAAGTTTAAAAATAAATAAATATAAAGTAAAATACCTTTAAAATACAGTTTAAGCTTTCTTACCGTGGCATCTGTAGCAGGGTTTTCTGTATGACGGGTTTTGGTTTCTTTTATTTTGTAGCACAAATTCATCATAAAAAAAGAAAAAAAGAAGACAAATTTTAGCAATCGAAAATGAATGTGTGAAGGACTTGCAACATACACAGAAACACTGTTAGTCTTTAATAAGTTAAGGAAAAAAGTTTTCTGCAGATGAGAAGAATCATTTAGGAATCTAAAATTCCTCCATATTAAAAAACCTGGAAAAGTAACACCTTAATGCACATAATCTCTCAAGTGCACCAGAAGCCCATTTCCCACCTGTCAACGTGGCTTGACTCTACTGTAGTCAAGTGGGTGTTCGTTTGTGTTCTACTTTTTATGTTCGTGAGCACATTTCCTTTCCCTTGTTTTCACAATTTATCTGATGGTCTAAAAAAGGTATTTTAATTATTTTAGTATAACTCCGGATTTACTTGGGCTATTAAAATTTAAAACTGGTGTGTAGTATTTGGTAAATAGCCTGTATTTGAATAACCTTCTGATTTTTGGACAACCCACTCTACCTCCTGAGCTATTGCTGTCCCATTGTTTATAATCTATATTTTAAACATAAGTTGTAACCAAAACTCGGAGGCAGCATCTTGCTGCTGTGGCGTCCTAAATGTGTATTGTCATTGGTCGACTGCAGATGAGAGTCGTAGGTTTTCAAGCAGTGCTTGTAGGGTTTTGGAGGCCGACTTTGGTGGTAAGATAGCTCAAAAAGCTGTTACAAAGACGGTCACACTGGAACAGAATCATGACAAAAAATGGTGAACATGAGGCTGATTTGCAAGTCTGTGGTCGTCCAGTGTGACCAGCTCAGTGACAGCTTATTGAGCACTCTCACAACCAAAGTCAGCCTCCATCAGCCTTCAAGCACCGCTTGAAATCCTGACTATCGTCTGTAATCAAACATTTTTACACTTAAAAATATTGAGTTGATTTGAAAGCCCTCAAACTGGTTATATCAAAACAGTAATATTAAGTTCAATTAATATTTTCAATTACATCAGAATTAATCATCTGGTCATAAATCACAAACTGAAAAAATGTAACAAAAAATACTGTGTGAACCACCTGTAAAACATGAGTAGAATTAACTAAAAGAAATAAGTAAAGATAACTGAAAATATTTCTAGTAGTTAATTGCACATTTATCAACTTTCTAATGAAATAATACTAATACTGAATAATACTAAAAATGTTAACAGATTTTTTTAATTAACTAGTTAAAAGTTGTTAAAAAACTGGTTTAAAAAAACAATGACAAATGCCTCATGAAATATGATCATTTTAATTCAAATCCTTCTTGCAAAAGAAAAGGAAATGTCTTTCATCAAATGGGACTACCACCCCAAAACTTTTTTGTGTATATTGCATAATAACCAAAACATGCAAATAGATAGGGATTTTCCTTCCACTAATAATTAGCAAAACTTCAAACAGAACAGGAGATAGTACAACAGAGAGGTTAAAGTGCTATGGCATCTAAGCCACTGCCAACTCTCTTACTTCAGAAGTCAAACTGTCACAACTTAGCACAGCACCAGGATGCAGCGCCTCTTAACTAAAAGGCTTCATGCCAAATATTACTTGTACATTTGTACAGTTTGCAAGAACATGCTAGGCACTATCTTCACACCAAAGAAATTGACTTTTATACAGAAATGACAAAATTTTAGTGTAAGGGGGGGAGAATAAACATTTGTTATACATTTTTGGCTTCCCATTAGAAAAACAACACACTGTCTCCAAGTTTTATGTATTTTTACGCATTTAGAAATCTCAGTGATAGAAAAGAGTAAACTTTCTGCCTAATAATCAAAACATTCAAGTCGATATGTGCGAATACTGTTTGAAACTATCACTTCAAAGAGGGATTCCTCATAGGTCAGGAATGATCAAAGAAAAAAATACACCAGGATGCAGCGCATTGATGCCAAATAGAAAAGTACAGTAAGAACATCAGACTTCACATTGAGTCAAGCAACACCTATTAGACAGAATGAACCCTAAGAATATCCATGTCTCTGTCCAGAGGAGCCTTACTACTAACTGAGGGTACATACAGCTTTTGCCAAGCACAAATGATCCATGTGAGAGCGAGTCCCATCTGTGCTCATTTACCCAGCTGTCAACTATGCCATTAAACAGTTTTTCAGTCTTTGCACCTTTGTTGACAGGTTCCCAGGATCCACTTCAGCAAGCAGCTTTTGAAACACTTCAAAAATGTATCTCAGAGTTTTAGGATAATTTAGGTCCAATGCAAAAGTTAGTCCAAGCAAGCAGCAGCAGGCTCTGCTCAGATCCCCAAGGTTGTCGAGTACAATGGATCCCTCAATGACGATTCCCACGTTGGTTTGTCCATTTTCGTCATGCAGAAGGTAAACAGCCATCACCTCTGCTGCCAGCTTTTCTTCCACATTTATGGCTTGGTTGGTCAAATAGTCAAAACTCTGTAGACACCGTAAAAGAAGCATTACTATTGCAGGTAGCATGTCACCTAAGAAAATAAAATTTATCAACCGCAAAAGTAATGGCATGCATGCATGCACACGTATAGATGTATAAAAGAAGTATAAGTTACATAAGCTGACTTACAATAAGAGGGGAAACACATTCAAGTAGGGCTGCAGCTATCGAATACTTTTGTAATCGAGTACTCTATCGAATCTTTTTTCGATTAATCGAGTACTCTAATAAATTACCCTTTTGTGTTTGTAAACCATTATATCAAATAGCATGTTATAAAATATGAAAGACCTCTTAAAATGAGCAAGCAATTGCCAGTTATTCTTAAAATTTTATTCAAAATTAGTTTTCAAAACTTCAGACAAAAACTAGGATAACTGTTGAAGTAGCGCTGCGAGCGGCTGCGGCCCAAACAGCACCAGAACCGCTCACGGAACATGCGCAAACATGGCTCGCCAGCTATTTCCCTATTAACACACGTCCGTTTTAATTTCTACACTTTTTTTCTCACACTAACAAGGACTGTCGAGAAAGCATGTTTGCTTTATGTCACTTATGTCAAATTATACTGATCACAAAACATTTATTTACTTTCTTTCGTTTTCCTCCGCCACTCTCATAAATACCTGGGTCCTCATGCAGCATTCCAGAGGGACAACAGACATCAATAACAACACAATAAAAAGTCTGACGTGTTGTGTAAAAACTGCTATTTTTAGCACTTTTTTAGGTCCGACGTGTTGCTACCTGACGCACAGTGTGAGCTGAAACTGGGTGCTACAAACGAAAAGTCGCACAGTGTCCGCAGAATATATAGAAATACAGGATAAAATGCATTATCTTGCAGAGGCTGCGAGTCCGCTTGCAGAAGTGACATTTACATGTGGATGTTTCCTGGTCAGGTGCTGCAGCATCGGGGATGTGGTGTTGTGGTAGGCTAAATCCATTTTACAGTATTTACACTGGACTACGTTTTCCACCTTACGAAGTGAAAAATGGTCCCACACCCTTCACATTTTCTGTCTTTTTCGCACTCCACCTGGGTCCAAGTTACATTTACTATGCGCGTGTGCCATGTAGTGCAGTGTGTATGTGTGTCACTTATTTCGGTGCGGGTGAAACATGACCCCGGTTGATTGCAAAGCCATGAATCAAGTAAACATGAATTAAACGAAGCCTCGAGGCAGAGAATTTGACTCGAGGCTTTTTTGTACTCGAATTATTTGAGGTACTCGAGGAATCGTTTCAGCCCTACATTCAAGTTTACACAATACTCACCTCAAACTCTTTGATCAAGGCACCCACATCTTCACCCAGATGATCAATGAGACATCGGATGACAACTTCTCTTGTTATCTCAAGAGTCTCACTCTGCTGAGTACAGTAAATGTATTTTAACAACTGACACGATACATCAGCCACTCTCCTCAGTGTATTTTAGACCTTTGAACGTAACAGATTTTTCAATACAGAATATACCCAACACTGATACAATGGAAAAAGGAATGAAGGAGAAATTATTATGTAGAGAAAACTAATAGAGGAAGGAATGTGGAAAGTGTATGTTGTATATAAAGTACAGATAAAGAGTGAAAGACAATCAATAACATAGTTGGAATAAAAATAATTGCTTCAGAAGGTATGCGACCTTGTGTTGAATGCAAGAGTACAGAAGATTCAGTTATAAAAAGTTAACAAAAGAGCAGTGACAGGTCATGTGCAGGGCTGTACGTTAATTTTTAGCCTATAGCACTGGTGCTACAAAGGTTGTAGGTTTTGTAGCACAGAATAAAAGTTGTATCATCAGCATAAAAATTATGTCATAATCTCTAAAAAAAAACAAAATTAGATCTTAACTCATTCACTGCCAGCTGTTTCCTGATCAGTAAAGCCCTTCACTGCCAGCGTTTCTCACCGTTTTTACTGTTTTTTAAGAGTCACTGAACGTTGCGCGCTAGGATGATGTCAACGCCAAAACTACCAAAACAAAGAGGAGACTCGCCTCTTACATCAGGAAGAATCTGCGCGTTTTGAGCATTATTCGTTCTTTCACAATCCGTTGTCGAACTGTGATTGGCAGAAGCTTTTCCGGTTCGCGCCTCACCTTTTTTTTTTTCAGCAGAGCCCAAACGATCTCCTAACACACGGACTTTCTGCTTCCCGGTCACGTGACATGTGACGTACGCGGATGAAGATCAACTTTAGAGCTGAGATGTTTGTTCTCACGGTGCGGGGGCTCTTTCCGACTCCCACACAGTAAAAAAAAATGCAAAGCTCAGTGGCCTAGTGGTAGTGTCTTCCCTGAGACTGGGAGATCAGGGTTCGATTCCTGGTCGGGTCACACCAAAGACTTTGAAAAAATGGGACCCAATGCCTCCCTGCTTGACACTCAGCAATAAAGGGTTGGATTGGGGGGGGGGTTAACCACCAAATGGTTCCCGAGCGCGGCTGTGTCTGCAGCTCACCACTCCCCCAGGAGATGGGTCAAATGCAGAGAACAAATTTCGCACACACATCAGTGTGTGACAACTAATTGGACTTTGACTTTTAAATGGCAGTGAACGGTTGGATTTAAAATGACGACTTTAGAGTTCAATGGCAGTGAATGAGTTAAACACACTGACAAACAAATGTAGTGCATACAATGAAAATACAATAACAAGCAGCCACCGAAGCAAATTCCTGGTAAAGTGAGTCTGACTCACATACTTATACTTATAAAGCGGATTATGAAATATCATAATTTATTTATTTATTTTTCACTGTGGTGGTGGGCTGTGGGGGGGTCTAGTGAAATGTGCACCAGTAAAATGCATCTTCCTTACACAAAAATCAAGTGACTTATAATTCATTAATGTTCGGGGGGTGTAACTTGAACGCTGTGGTCATAAAGATATGGACATGGTCAGTAACAATACTCAGGTAGGCTGTGATGTTGCAACGATGATCAGTTAGTACTAAGGGGCCCAAAGTGTGCCAAGAAAATGTCCCCCACATAATTACACCACCACCATGAACTGTCGATACAAGGCAGGATGGATCCATGCTTTCATGTTATTAATGCCAAATTCTGACCATACAGAAGATCATTTTGATCATGTCAAAATGCCTAAATGCATTGAGTTGCCACCATGTGATTGACTGATTAGTAGTTTGCGTTAACGGGCAGTTGGACAAGTGTACCCAATAAATTGGCTGATGAGTGTATATTGCACTGTACAGCCCTGATGTGGAAGCATCTACAAATAGAAAAACACCTGAAATACCTGGAGTAGAATATTCATTGCTGTGCGATGTCTCTCTCCAGCAGCACCTTTCTTGGCTTGGAAGATGGAAAGCAGTTTAGGGATATATTGGTCCAGCATGTACATGAATTTGGCCTCAAGATTCACAGTGGTAATTCGTTTGAATTCAGCGTTGATCTGGGGTTGAAACAAAGAGACAAGCATAGGGTTTAATTTACAAATGTGTAGTTGCATAAAACTGCATTGCAGAAATAGAATTTTCTTACCTGTGATACATTAAACAAGGCTGGCCACCTGTCCTTGATTTCTTTGACATTCAGTTGAAGACTGACGACATCCCGTCTCCTATGAGCAAACGTGCTGGACATTAACTGATTGATGGTTGTCTTCTCTTGCTTCTTTAATTCAGACAGAATTTTGAGCCGCTGTTGCTCTTGGTGTTCAGCAGTTTCTCCTAAAGGATAGTGTGGAAGATACTTAACTTCTCCTTTTCTTGCTTTTTTTACTTTTTGGGCTGGTTTTCTCTCACCAGGGCGCTTATTGCTAAGAGAATTGCATGTGACTTCAGGAAATCCAAGCTTTCTTAGCTTAGTCCTGTAATTCCCCATTTTGTACTTTAAGCTGTACATCCATCCATTCCATCCATTGCAACTTCCAGGTTCTGTTAGACATGGGTGTTTTTTAACCAAGGCTTCTGCGACCTGTCCAACTCGAAGACCTGTTGGATACGGAGTATAACTGTACATGTAATCTGCCAGTTTTTCCAATATTTCAGACTTGATGCAGGTGTTGTTAAGGACAGTTCCATCTTTCAGAAATAGTTGGTTTGCATTGAACAACACTGTCTCTGTTGTAACTGAAAAAAATGGAATTTCAATATCTTTTGGCCAAAATTCCCTTTCTGGACTTAATATGATGTCTTGTTCTGATACTGATGATGTACCATCAAACTGGAAATCTACAGCAGTAGAAGATGACTGTGAGGGGAACTTATCTGATGTCACACTTGGGGTGTCACTCACATTGCCAGTATCCATCACATTATCAGTCTCTGATGTTAATGATAGCACTATGGAAGGAATAATGATCACTTTTATTGATCCCTTAGGTTTCACATCACTGATCGAATAAACTGTGAAGAAATTCCCAAAGTCTTCGTCAAAGTAATGAAGTATGAATTCCTCATGAATCTGGAAGGTGTCCTTCACAGTCTTGTGTAGCTGCTCCAATGTGTCCGGTATTCCTGAGGATAACATGAGCTTCTCACTATGATGATCTATAATCACCTTCAAAACAACAGGGTCCATCTGTATGAAAACAAATCACAACTTTAAATCAGAGCTCATTGCTGTACAGTTAGTATGTTTAGCTTTTCATCTACCGTTAGACAATTATGTGCTTTTTAAACTGACCATGCATTTTCCTTCCATTCAATATGCTGTCATTGTTTATGTATCACTGAGCTGATTTTTCACAATGGGTAAACGCCCGATAATTCTAACAACTTATTAGACAAAACCTAGTGAACAACCTAGCAACATTTCTGAGGACCCTTAGCCACTTTCTGTGCGACTTTGTTGTCCATATGCCCTACAGGTTAGCAAAACACCCAACCTGCAATCTGGACAGTTTTTCAGGACATTAGGCATGGGAATGATGTGCGCATGTGCAGCATGCTCACGTTACATTGATTGACCAATCAAACCTCTCTGGATCTCACTTGTTCAATGCTAATTCTCATGCGACAAGTATGAAACATGCATTTGGCTGTCTTCATGCGCTTTCATGTTACACATCCAGTTTCTCATGTCAATAAATAATAATAGTTCGCCTATCTGAACAATACCTTGCATTGTGCTACTGTACACTTTCCTACAGATTGGCTGAACAGGCATAAATAATTACTATGCAGCAGGCTGTAGAAGTTCATTACAACATAGATGTTCACGTTTGTAAATGGCCTGTATTTGATATAACATATAGAGTCCTAGAACCCCCCAAGGCGCTTTACAACACAATCAGTCATTCACCCATTCACACCTTGGTGGGGATGAGCTACGATGTAGCCACAGCTGCCTTGGGGCGCCCTGACAGAGGTGAGGCTGCCGAGCCCTGGCGCTCCTTGTCCCCCTGACCACCACCAGCAGGCAAGGGGGGTTAAGTGAACGGGGTTCAAACCTGCAACCTTCCGATTACAGGGCGAGCACTTAACTTCTGTGCCACCGTCACCCTGTTGTTTATTATTATATTACAAATGTTTGCACTGCATAGCTTTGTTTTCTTGACACTATTTTCAGTTAGTTTGTTTTATATAAAATTAGGTATGCATTGGCTAGGTTTAAATACTTTAAACTTAAGCCTATACCCATTTGGTCCTTAACTATTAGTAGGTGTATTGGCTCTTTTACGCAAATCAGGAATTGTGTTTGTAATTATCTTGTTTCCTTTTTTTCATTTATTTTCTTTTCCTCTGTGCCCTGTGCAATTTTATGACCAAATAAATAATTAAAATCACCATAATCAAGATCTAATTTTCAGTTAAAATAATCGTGATTATCACTTTTGCCATAATCTAGCAGTCCTACCTCCTATATTGTTTATAATACCAGCTATTGGGCAACTTAACAACAAAATTTACATCAGTGTCTACAATCACCATCTGTGAAATCTGGACAAAATCTGGGAGATCTATGAGGCAAAATCATCCCAACTGTATATCTGGTTCCATGATAAAATAGTAAACTTGTCAGTTTCACTGTGGTTTTTAAAACATTCTTGGATTTTCTCATTTAACAAAGCCAATGGAATACTAGTTACTCCACTCACAAAATGCAGATTTGAGCATCACTGGGTGCTTTTTGGTGAAAGGGAGTAAAATATTTTTGAAACTGCTTGTATGTCAAAGCAACACTTGCTTCAAAACGCATAGCACAGACACAAACCAAAAGTCCAAAGCATTTTATCAATTCTGGATCATGTTCCAAGTAAGGTTTGTCACGATACTAAAATTTCAAACTCGATTTGATACTGGGGGGGGAAAAAACTCGATACTCGATTTTTATACTATTTAAAAACACCAATTTATTGAACAAGTTTATTCAAAAAATAACATTCCTCAATTTATATTGCAAAAATGAAATGTTAAGAATTAAGTGTATAAAGTGCTTAAACCTTTCAAGTATCAGCATTTTTTAAAACGTGCATACAAAACTGGCTAAAGTTAACATTTTAAATCATGAATTGTCTCACTATATACACACTATTTGCAGAGTGATGTTTTGCTGCTTAAACTCTGTTTGACTTGCATTTTTGTCATAAGCTGTGATGCCATATGTTTAGTTCTGTACTTTTGAACAACTCTGTTGGTCAATAAAGGGAGAAAACGAATTTCTCCACAGTAGGACAAAGGTACATCTAATCTTAATAAAAACAGATTGGCGCACGGCAGTGACGTCATTAAAAACACTGGTTAGATTAGTCTATTTACGCCTAGAAATCCCAGACCCGCTCCAAACGAACAGGGGAATCATGTTAATGATTCCTAACAAAACCTTTCGACATAAAGATGTTTTGGTGCTGATAATGTCTTAATTCGAGGCTGCACCATGGGTGCCCATCCGCACCCGTTATATGGATATACACCGATGGCGATTCGCCAATGGATTTAAATACCCCGGGGAATCCAAGTAGCACCAAAGTTGTCAGCGTGAGTAAACAAACGTACTGTATGCTAGAAATTAAGTCCGGGTTGCAATAAACGGGAGTTTTCCTTTAAGCATATAAGCGTGAATATACAACTACGTGTTGGACTTGGTATGCTAGCTTAGCTAATACTAATACGTGAGCTCAAATTTGTTGGTGCAATTAGACACATTCTTATTAGATTTAATAAATTTTAGACACCTGTTTCATTTCATCATGCAGTTTGGGGTGTCGGGGTCTCAGATGCTTGGCCAAATTTGTTGTGCTGCTTGATTTTGTAGCAATCTCTTTGTAGCACTCCTTGCAAACGGGTCTGTCCTGGTCTGTTGCTTTCCCCGACTCATCAGCCTTGTATCCAAAGTGTTTCCACACTGCACTTTTGCTCTTTGCATTGTTGATTAAGTTGGGCTGTGAAGCGCCTCCCAAATTTGCTGTTGCTATTGTTAACAAAACTTGGATCTGAGACAACTCGCTCGGGAAATTGCAATGTAGCCATGCGGCGTCTTCTTCTTCTGTTTGTCCGGGAGGCGGAGGCTACTTTACGGCATCTGGCTGTCATGCGTGTCGGTGTACTTGAAGAAGGCTGTGTATATGTGAGACTCCATAATATCGATACCACAGGGATGGAATATCTAATTTAGATACCACTTTTAGTATCGATTTATATCTAGGTATAGATTTTTTTGACAACACTAGTTCCAAGAAATGTTACTTAGGTAGCGATGGGTACCGAATTTGGTACTTTTTAAGGTACCGACCGAATTCCACAGTACCGACTGAGCACCGATTCACGTCATTTGAAACGGTGCCTCGTTTCGGTACCCGTCCTTCATAACGAGAACTTGCCTAGACAGCTGCGCATGCGCAAGAGCGTTATGTAGTCAGTCGCTGCGAGCCAGTTGTAAATGGTTGCAGGGTAGTGCGCGTAGAGAGCCCTGAAAGCGCTTATGATGCAAAGGTCTATGGGCTGAATCTGCGATGCAGTGTTTGGTGGCAAAATTTTGATTAGCACACCATCATACGACAAATCACCAGCATAGCCTTTGGCATTGTTAATGAGCAGAAGTGCATTAAAGTCTAATCCTTTTCATCTCAAATGACACTTGACCTCTGGAATGAAACACTTTTTGAACCAAATCAGATTGAGTGTGTCATCATCCAAGCCATTGTATTATGCATCCAGTAAACGGGCAACGCATTCTTAGTTTTGTATTTTAGGGCTCTTGGATTTTGGGACTTATGAATAAACCCTGGTTCCATCATAAAGCCTGCAGCATTTCCACACATAACAAAAGGCACTCAATCTTAATGGGCTTTGAATCCTGGGGCTTAGACTTCGTTCTGCATTATAAAGGTGCGAGAGGGAATTCTTTTCCCCAAAAACTCCTATCTCATCCATATGAAAAACTTGGTCAGGCTTTTATCTCCTTTCCTTGATAATCGCTTTAAATGTGTTGGTCGCGTATGCCTCTGATGCAGCAGTATTTGGAGAGGCAGCCTCTCCATACAGTAAAAACGTTAAAAGTCCAAAGCGTTTCGGAAATTTGTAAAACCAGCCCTTGATGGCATTAAATGGGCTTGGTATTGCATGAAAAGCACTCGTTGATGGCTCGGGCTCCACACCATCCTGCTCCACGTTGTCATGGAAGTCAGTTAACGTTTCATAAAGCTTTTTAGCTTTCGTGCGGATAATGTTGGCATTCAGCATAATGTTCTTTTTCCTGCAGTCATTGATCCACAAAGCTAAAGCAGACTCCATCCTTACGATGGTCTTGTTGCGAACAGTTACGACGAGCCCACTCACGCACAAAACTAACTGAAGACTTCTAAATTTCAAATTTGGGATAGTTTGCATTTACAACAGTAGAATTTAAGTGAACTACAGTCAAGGAAACCTGAACAGATAATTAGACCATTACATGAAACACCTACTTCAAAAAGGATAAGCAAAATCCAACTGTTCTAACTCTTTGAATGACTAACGCCTGAGATGTTCCAAATGCTAACAAGGAATATTAAAAAGCCTAGCTAATTACAGCAGCAAATGGCTTTGATAAAACGTAGATAAAAATCATATCATTCTCATGTCTAACTTCTTTAAGAAGGCTATTGAGAACTCACATATTTGTTCAGTACTTACATAAAGTCACGTTGAATGTCTCTTCATGGCTCCTGCTGTGGATGTTAATGTTCACCAAACCCACAAATTCATTTTCAAATCTCTCAAATTTTTTTCAATTATCCTTACTTATTTACTTTAGTTGCTTAAACTTGTGTTTTGAGCTGGTTCCACAGTACTTTTAGTTACATTTACTCAATTTGTGATATTTGTGACAAGATGATTCATTCTGATATAATTGAAAATTATACTTGAATTTACATATTACTGTTTTGATATAACTAATTTGAGGGCTTTCAAATCAACTCAATATTTTTATGTGTAAAAGTGTCAGAGATTAAATGAAGTAACAAGCATATTGTTTTGTAGTGGTTACATTATTTTTCAGTTGTTTCTAATAATAGGGTGAGAAAATCTCTTATTTCACTTTTTAAAATTAACTTTTTGTAACATATTCTAATGTAAATTGCTTGAAAAGACAGAAATATTACTAATATTTTAATTATTTTATCTGCTAATCAAAGCTTTATTTATTTTAAAGATACTCAATATAAATATGTATGTTTCACACAAATGAATACTGATGGTGCCACCTCAAAAACTCATCATTCAGACATTCAACATTTTTCATTAAGCATGCACATATATATTTGTATCATCTTTACTGGGCGCTTGAATTATTTCTTACAGTGTACTGAGGTGGACAATAAAAAAAGCACATCAGAACCCATTTGCGACAACGATTTTATCAAGACGTATTCCATTTCGACAATTCAGACGTTTTAGAACTTATTTACCAGTAAACTAACAAACATTTAAAAACATACCCCTTCATAGAAACTATAATAAAAGATTTCAGAATCCTAAAAAAAAGTTCCAATATCTATCTATCTATTGGGGCTAGACATTATGGCCTAAAATCAATATCACAATATATTGAGGATTTCACCATGATAACGATAACTGGACGATAACTACAGGTATGTGCAGAAACAAAAGTTGTCCACTAGATGGGGCTGTCACATGTAGGGCTGAAACGATTCCTCGAGTACCTCGAATAATTCGAGTACAAAAAATCCTCGAGTCAAATTCTCTGCCTCGAGGATTCGTTTAATTCATATTTAATTAATTCGTGGCTTTGCAGTCGCCCGTGGTCATGTTTCACCCGGACTGAAATAAGTGACGCACATGCCCACTGGACTGCACACGCAAGTAGCGAATGTAACTTAACTTTCTCTTAAGCCATGGCGGACAACGTGGACCCCGGTGGAGTGCGAAAAAGACAGAAAATGTCAAGATGTGGGACCATTTTTCACGTCGTTAGGCGGAAAACGTACTCCAGTGTAAATACTGTAAAATGGATTTAGCCTAGCACAACACCACATCCTCCATGCTGCTGCAGCGCCTGTAAATGTCACTTCTGCAAGCGGACTCGGAGCCTCTACAAGATAATGCATTTTAGCCTGTATTTCCATATATTCTGCGGACACTGTGCGACTTTTTCATTTGTAGCACTTAGTTTCAGCTCACACCGTACGTCTGGTAGCAACACGTCGGACTTAAAATGTGCTAAAAAATAGCATTTTTACACAAAACGTCGGACTTTTTATTGTGTTATTGATGTTTGTTGTCCCTCGGGATTGCTGCAGGAGGACATGGGTATTTATGAGAGGAAAACGAAAGAAAGTAAATAAATGTTTTGTGATCAGTATAATTTGACAAAACCACAGCAAACATACTTTCTCGACAATCCTTGTTATTGTGTGAGTAAAAACGTGTTGAAATTAAAACGGACGTGTGTTAATAGGGAAACAGCCGGCGAGCTGTTTGCGCATGCACCGTGAGCGGTTCTGGTTCTGTTTGGGCCGCAGCCGCTCGCAGTGCTACTTCAACAGTTATCCTCCTAGTTTCTGTCTGGCTTGCAGGCTAGCAGATTCTCGCACGAGGGGAAAATCGGCTCAGGTTGTTTACTTATTTTTTGCACAGCCATTTGTTTACTGTGAAGTAAAGTTGAAGTGCTGAAGTTTTGAAAACTAATTTTGAATAAAACTTGAAGAATAACTGGCAATTGCTTGCTCATTTTAACAGGTCTTTCATAATTATAACATGCTATTTGATATAATGGTTTACAAATACAAAAGGGTAATTTATTAGAGTACTCGATTAATCGAAAAAAATATTCGATAAGAGTACTCGATTACAAAAATATTCGATAGCTGCAGCCCTAGTCACATGTATTACGTTGAGTCATTTTTTTCATGACTCAGCTTCTTAAAGGGACATGAATGTTGCCAACCTACACACACCTTTTCATTTTTTATTATCAGATTTATTGACATGGGAAAAATGATCATAATAGGAGTCAGAAATTTCTATAATGATAAATATACGATTTATTGCCCAGCCCTGCTATCTATAGATCACAGTCATAGATTAAGAAATAGAGATACATGTCTCAAAATTCCCACATGCACTTTTATTTGCTATTAGGGATGGGTACCTTTGACATTTGAATCGATCCGGTACTAATTCCCGGTACCTACGAATCGATACCGGTACTTAACGGTATCGATTTTCGATACTTTTGAGTGTTTATTATTTTAATTCTCTTTTATAATTATATATTTTTCTCAATATATAACAATATTTGATAAATATCACAATAAATAACATACAACTGTTTGTATTTTAACATCGTCCCTGTAGTTTTATAAGCTGAAAATTAAACTGAAGCAAACATCTTTACTGTGAACTACATTTACTGTGTATCTTCATTCCTTTGGCCATCTTTTTTCATTTGATTTTTCCTACTGGGAAGTTAGAATTTCCGAGGAGAAAGCGAACGCACCATTAGCTGATAACAACGGTGGCAATGGAAGCTAACATATCAAGCTAACATTATCTTTAACAGTTTATTTAACTGCTGGAGCAGGTTAAAACGATGATGCCTCACACTTAGATCGTTGTCACCCGCCTTTAGTAAAGTGAAGCCAAACTTTAGAGCGCGTTCATGTTCTTCTAGTCGGAAATTCGGAGGTCCGAGGAGAAAGCGAACGCACCATTAGCGAAACGGAAGCTAACATATCAAGCTAACGTTATCTTAAACATTTTATTTACCTACAGGAGCATATTAAGATAAGGATGTCTCACTTAGATCGTTGTTGCTGGGACAGGGACCGACGACATAACGCTCTTGCGCATGCGGAGCTGTCTTGGCAAGTTCTCGTTATGAAGGACGGGTACCGAAACGAGGCACCGTTTCAAATGACGTGAATCGGTGCTCGGTCGGTACTGTGGAATTCGGTCGGTACCTTAAAAAGTACCGAATTCGGTACCCATCCCTATTTGCTATATGTTTATAGTTAATGTAAAATAATTTAAATTCCATCTAGAGGTGGCTCATATCCTATCATTCAAAAAATTACCAGTAATTTTTTCTTGTCCACAGAAAAAATAAATCACATTGAGCAAAATTTGTGATATATTTGCATCCACTACTCAGAGGATTACACACCCGGTATTTTGGTTGCGCTGCTCTCCGTAGTTGGTTCCAGACTACGCAGAGGAGGGGTTTGGCCTGTTTCTCTACACAAATGGGATAAACAAAGCTCCGGTTGGCAGCCACAGTAAAAAGTCTCGCTAAAACATGAATGAGAAACCCCAATAAATAGAAGCCACAAAGCCAAATGCAAAGATTAGAGCAGAACATTGATCCGAAGGCTTTCTGATTGAGCAGACGTGTGAGAATACATGTAGTGACCCCTTAGACACGGAGCAAGCTAGCGGCTAGCACTACAATTGATTATGGTGTGCTTCTTTAACAAATCATAATAGTTTATGTCTGCATCTTAATGCATCGATTATTACTTTTCTCAGCTCTACAGAGTACCCCAGCTAAACCAAATAACATGCTTCCTCAAACTTGCTCTGATTGGTTTGTGGTGTGTGACCAACAGAAGCAGACTAGCAAATGGCGCGAGTGCCAGCAGGTCTTATTTAACCAAAAACTCTTTTAGCTGTTAAGTCATTTCCATCTCTTAACTGTGACAAAGAATTTGTATTTGATGAAAGGTGTTCAAAATATCCATGAACAGCATGTTTTAGTGAGTATATTACAACTTCTCCTCGAACAACCTCTAACAATAAATTGTTTTCACCAACAGCTTTAGATATAAGGATTTCAGTGGATAGACAATGCTTTTAGTTTAGCATGCATTTATTGTTTTCATTGTACTTTTTATATTTAGGCTACACATACCTTTGTTTGGCCACGTTGTTTTCAATGCACTATACAAATAAAGTTTGGTACGGTGTGGGATTCTGGGTCAAACATTCACACTTACCTTAGTACTAGTAGTTGTAGGATTTTGTTGATTCTTGACCTTGCTGTTACTAGCACCATTTGTGCTCCGTATTATCAATGAGGAAGTTGAAGCTTCATCTGACAGTGAGGAATGTTCTTCATTTTCACCTTCATCAGCTGAGGAGGTGGCTGAATTGTCAGGGCAGGATTCAACATGGATGTCAACTGGGTTGGCATGCATCATGTCCATTTTCTCTTCCTTTTGTTCTGGATCCTCTTTCACAACGCTTGCAACATTACTGGTGTGTAGTTCACCTGGCTGATGTTGTTGTTCTACATTCCACTTAATTTCAAATTCAAATGGCTCTTCTTTGGGGCTTTTTTCCCCCGGCTGCGATAATTGAAATTCAAAGCTGCTCTTCGGCTCCTCAGGTTGCTCACTGGTAGACGTGGTTGCTTTAACATATGGGCCAGCATCTGAAAAAGTAAATAAAATGCATTATTCAAACAGTAGATCCTTTCCCTTAGTTAAAAAATCTAAATACAGCTCCCGCAGGACAATGAATTGAATACCGCCTGTTTCAATTATGCAGTAATGTATTAACAAGCTCCATCAAACGTTCTTGTAAAGTTTGTTGAATTTTCACTGAAATTTAAAGACTGCAAGGTAGACTAGGCATTGTTGCAAACAACATTTCAATGAAAAAATAGAAAACAGACTGCTTACTGAAAAAGTTCCTGCTGTAGAAACCTATTTTTAAATGTTTGATGAATGAGGATTTTTAGCTCAGATCATTAAATTATGCCTAGAATTATTATTTCAAACTATATTTGACCACAAATTCTCAATTCATGATGCAAAGAAGTGATGACTAGATACATAAGACATTTATATTTGGAGCATAAACAATTCAAACAAAAAAGAGAGAGGAGGATGGACAACAAAAAATAACAATAACTGCAAACTTGAAAGTTATACTTTAAATGTATCTTAAAGTTTGTACTAGCTGTTATGCCATCCATTCATTTTCTTTTGCTTATCTGGAGTCTGGTCACAGGAGCAGCAGGGAGACTCAGACTTCCCTCTCCTCAGCCAACTTGGGCCTTCTCCTCTTGGGGAGGGGAATCCCAAGGCGTTACCTGGCCAGCCAAGAGATATGATTCCACTTACACACTAGCATCGGCTACACTCCACTCCGCTCGCCCCAGCCTGGCCACGTCCGTTCGGCACTACCTTAGGAATGCGGGTGTGATTGAACAAGAACAAGGGTGTCCTGTGATGTCATGAGCGCATCTCTAAGCATGTGGGCTGGGTAAATTAGCATGGAGAAGTCCACGGTGGTCTCCATTATTAAATAAAGGTGGTCTGAGCGGTCTTGCTTTTGAAGACTCTCTGACTCTGATTTTGCACCCTGCTTTGCTGTGTGAGTTTTTGCAAAGCGTGTTTTTCTCAGACTGAGGTGTGGCTGTTGAACGAGGAAACAGGTTGTTTTACTTTGTTAAATCTTCTTAAATGTTTAAATGTTTTGTCCTAACCCGTTGTGAATTGAGAGCTTTTGAGGGATGGCAGGTTGTGTCAATTACGTTTTTGATTTTAAAAAAAAGGAAACTAAAAATAAAAAGCAATTATCTGACATCTTCTATTTATCAATGAAAACAAATCAATATGAAATAATCGTGATGCATCGGGATATCGAATTGAATCATTGACCTAATAATCGTAATCGAATCAGGAGATAAGTGAAGATTCACACCTCATTCATGCTCCATCTTTGCCTCACTGTGAACAAGATCCTGATATACTTCAACTCCTCTGCTTGGGGCAAGACCTCGTACCTGATCCGGAGAAGGCACTCTACCCTTTTCCAACTCAAGACAACAGTCTCTGATTTAAAGGAGCTGTAACGACTATATTAAAAGTTTTGATGATTGAAAGTAAAACCAACAACAAAACAACCAGAAAAACAGCCCCATAACAGAAATTGTGCTGATATTTAATGAATTTCTTGCAAACTGTTTATTATACATGTGATTTTCTAACATCTTGTCATTTCTTTGAGTTAATGAACACAACATTCACTGGGAGCATTGTTGCACTTTTGCTTGAAGAATTTGGTAAAAATATGCGTTTTTTTCGGCTTATTGGCATTTCTTGTGTTTGTTTCTCCCAGAATAAACCACCGGGCTACCTTGTGGCTAGTTACCTGAGGAATAGAACTGACTTCACCACGAGCACTGAGGTGAGGCGATCAGAAAAAATAACTATTGAGGAAAGCCGAGCTCCGTTTGCAGCCACAGCACTGAAACTATTGTAGTTTTTCATCCTTTCTGATGACCAGCCGTGAGCTACTGATCAACTTAGATTTATTACGTTCAAAAGAGAGCAGTAACTAAAATAGAAAGGTACGATTAAACATAACAAACCTATCATGTGTAGTTTTATCTCAGGACCGATCACCGTGCGCAGCATGCTCCGCAGTCGTTTGTTTTCCTCGTCGTACGACTCGACGATACTTTGAACTTCGCCAAAAACCTCCAAGGCCAACGCGGTGAAGTGTTCGGTCAAAAAATTCGTTAACTTGTTGAGTCTTTGGTTCGCCATGTTTCGCTTTTAGCGTAAACAACAAAAGCGCCTGGTGATACTACGGCTGCACGGTTAGGCGCGAAAACCTCAACACAACCGGAAGTTTACAATTCTTCCTTTCAAATAAAACGAACATTTGACTAGCGCCCTCCTCAGGACAATGGGTGTTATTGGACACAAAACAAGCTCTAAAAAAAGTTCATTTCTGAAAGAAAGAAAGAAAGAAAGAAAGAAAGAAAGAAAGAAAGAAAGAAAGAAAGAAAGAAAGAAAGAAAGAAAGAAAGAAAGAAAGAAAGAAAGAACTTTCTGGGACTGAGATGTGGAAGAAATAAAAAGACTCATCCATTGAGAGTGACTAAAATCATTATATTTCATGTGAATTACTCCACCCCAGAAAGAAAATACTAAAAGAGCAAAATAAATAAATCCCCCAGCCTTCTCATCCTCACAGAAGAAGGAATAAAACTAGTAACACCAAATGCAAAAACAATAATGATAATAATTGAAAAAAAAAACAAGGCTGCATGGTGGCATATGTGGGTAGCACCGTTTCTTTGCTCAATGAAGTTGCAGGTTCAAATCTCAGCAGCATCTTGAGTTAGTTTTCGGGTTCCCCCGCACACTTTAAAACAAACTGTTTATTTTAAATGGTGACTATACTGTCTCCATGAGTGAGACACTCCTTGTTTCTCTGTGTCCCTGTGATGGACTGGAAACCTGTCCGAGCTGTCGCCCGTCTCTTACCGGATCGCTGACGGGGAAAGCCAACCCAAGTGGTTAAGATAATGGATGATAAGATTGACTAGCTAATGGCTAGTACCTGCATGGTCAAAGTTGTTTTGTGCTGTCCCAAAACAGTTTGTGATTTGTGTGAAACAGCCGTTTTCCAAGAATCTGTGGTTATGTCTAAGTTATGTTGAAGCCAAAGTTAGTAGAAGCGGCTAGTTGTAGCATGACAGACTGTGACACTTCCTTCAAAATGTCATCGTCTTTCCTCCCAAATAACAACTTTTATGAAACAGCCTTGCACGAGCCACTATGAAACTCAGACATCCAGGAGGGACATGAATGTGAGGTGAGTTTAGGATGAGGTCAGGATGCCCAAAAGACCAAAAAAACTATCTCAAACCTGTTCATCTCAAAAGAAGAAGGTGGAAGCTTTAAAAAATAACACACACACACACACACACACACGCGTGCGCATGCGTGCGCACACACACACACACACACACGCATGCATGCACACACACACACACACACACACACACACACACAAACACAAAGTAAACACAAAAGACCAACATTCGTTTTTCTCTTTTTGCTTTCCCTTCAGGGATCACCCCAGTGAAAATTATGTCTTCAAAAAAAAATACAAAATTAATATCTAAAGATAAAATCACTGATCTATATTATTGGTGTGTTGGATACACAATTGATTACAAATAAAATCACGAGTCCTGAAGGCTGTACAAAAAGAACATTGGGAATGACCTCCCAGGCTTGGACAATATGTTTTCTGACAATGTTTCAAAGCAAGCAGCACCTATTGCCAAAAACCCAGCACACCCCCTAGGCATCACCTGTTTGTTCCCCACAATCGGCCAAATGTTACAGAGCCATCAACGCTGGATACAACAGGCTGAGAAAGACTTTCTAACCTGGAACTGTCATTTTTGTTGTTCCTGCAAAGTCTGACACCTCATTCTTTGTATGCGCTGTGTTATTTTTGTATATTTGACTTTTTGCATTAATGATTTTTTGAAAGTTCATCACCTTGGTCCTATGTGCACAACATGTATTCTCAACATGCAGGCAATAATGCTAAACTTTCCTAAAGTTCTGGCTCGTAAAGAAGTGCATAATAAATATATACATTTTGTTTTTAAAGAAATGCGAATTCTTCCTGTGACAACACTGATGCCAACGTGCTGATGGTTTAAATGGTAGATGATAGTTTCCACTGTCGTCCATTGTACTATGCTTGCACCTGATGGGGAGATTTAACAAATATTTTATTATATATGTAGCATTTACTTTCTTACTAACTGGCATCAGATAATGTTCTGCATTAAGTTTTGTTACAATCTAATCTATTACCTACAAGACCTGATATGAATGTATAGGTGCTATTATCTAGTGTCCTGAATTAAGTTTTTTGTGATTTTGCTGTGTATAAGTCATTTGAATGCAATTTATCATTGCAGTTTGTAATGAAGGTGAACTTACCCAAATAGTGCTTTACACAGAGATGCAGTCATACTGTTCCAGCCCACCAGGGGGCAGCAATACCCAATGTTGTTCGTTTAATGAACACTAATAGAGGGGTAGAAGAAGAAACAAGAAGGTGGGGGTCAGGCAGCGAGTGACAGCCCGAGTGGACCGCTGAGGGGACAGTCCGTAAACTGAATCAGACCTCGACTTGACAGGACAGCTTGGGGAAAATATTGCATTGACGATTGCTCACATGTAGTGGTCACGTTTTGCGTGTTTGTATCGAATAGTGAGTGAACTGGTGCTGGTTAAATTACTGTTCGTGATGGCAACCTGAGTGAATACTGTTGCTTCGAGTTTTCAGTACGCTAGCAGCGGGCATCCAGCGAGCAGAAACCTTAACACGCTCCGTGTTTACGGTGTCATCGAGCAGCTTGCTTTGGTAGCCTGTCAGGGCATCGACAGCACGTCAGGTGGTCGGCTACTCCGTTAAGATGGGTGACATTAACCCATCGACATCTCATGCGTTCCAGTCGGAGGTGAGTCATTAAAAAAAAACAAGTAAATAACACATTTAGAATGGAAAAATTGCTGCCATGTCAAACGATTTTAGCAGAAATAATTTTGAGGGAGGTCTGTCAACGCTGGCCGTTGTTGTTTAGTTAGCGGTTAGCATACTATGCTAATGTCGGAAGAAGTAAGAAGTTAACACGCTTAAACCCTCAGACATGTTTACACCTAACTGCGATTTAACACAGTCTAACTTCGTGCTGTGTTTGAGAATTTGTCATTTTCTTATCCTTTCAAACTGGACTTTGTGGGGTGTTGATGCTAGCTAGCCTCGAGTTTCATCAAAAGAGCACATTCCATCACCATAACGGAGCATGCTAACAAAAACACTGGCTAAGTGTTTGCACAATTTATCTTCATCGTCATCTATCAGATTTCTAACACTGATGCGTTTATAACTTAACTGCGTTGTTTGACAGTCTTCAATCATTGTTTGGCGTCACTGATTTATTCAAAAGTCGATTTTTATGTTGCGACTACTACTAGCCGCTTAGCATTAGCTTGTTACTTGTTTGCTGTTTACACTTAGACGACCTGGGTAGCTGTTTGTAGTGTGTGATAAGGTTTATCGGTTGTTCTGAGTCTGTTAATGAGTTTTATGATAGTTTTGTTTCATATCCGTACGTGGCACCTGGCCAAGTCCGTCTCGGTTTGCTGAAAGTGGGTGTGCTGACGGTCACTTCTCATTGATGTCAACGCCATGTTGAGATGTTTTACGATTGTGTTTTCAGAGCTTCAGTCCGCCGTACCGGAGGAGGAGGACAGTGGAGGATTTTAACAAGTTTTGCACTTTTGTGTTGGCTTACGCCGGATACATCCCATACCCCCAAGAAGTACGTGAATTTCCCGACCATGATGCGTAAAGTCTCATTGTTGATTAATTTGATGCTTTTGAAAGTCCTGATCTACTTTGCATTTGTCACTGCAGATTTACATTGTAGCTTTAACGAGTAATTTATTTATTATTTTAAGCATTTTAAATAGATAATTGAATTTTTTACCCATATGGTATTTTTGGCTGTTTGTCACCTTCTTGATCAGACTATTAATCCACTCGTACACTCAGCAAGGTTGAGTCTTTTGTTGTAGTAAAATAGTTTGTTTTAGAAACATTCAGTACCATTGCTCTAAACATACAGACCCAGGGCTTGTTATCAAGTGTTGAATTTTCCATTTTTGATAACCTCTTAACTGTAAAAACACAAAGCCACTGATGCCTGTGCTTTTATTTATTTATTTCTGCACAGGACTCTCCGCTGCGCAGCAGCTCCAGCCCACCTAATAGCACAGGTAGCACAGCTGACAGTGATGGCTGGAACCCAGGACCCTCACCCTCATGTCCATCACGTCCCACAAAGATCCCTCAGGACTGGAGCAGGAAACGCCCACAGTCAGGACCCATGCTGTCCAGCCTCCCCAAAAGAGACGTGAGCTGAACTGAAATTGTTTAACTGAACCAATCTCATAAATGAAGCTTTCACCACATTCTGATATCAATGCTGTTTCCTCTGCAGCGCACAATCACCAGTCTGCATCCAGATGATCACTGGAAAGCTGACAAACTGAAGAAAAAGAAGAGGAGAAAGGAAAGGGAGCATCATTCTGGCGATGAAACCAGAGCACCGCAGACATACCCAGCAGAGCCACAGGTGCAGTCCCCACTTCCGTTCAGTGGCCGGATGATCAAAGAAGAGCCTGAGGATGATTTCAGCATTCCCCTCCACCCCCAGTGCCTGCCCAGCCTGTCTCCCTGCAAGGAGGAGCCTAAGGAAGAGCCAAAGGAGGAGCGCAGACACTGGGATGGCCGAGATCTCGAAGAAGGGGTGGTAAAGGTCCAGAAAGTTGAGGGTTTGTCAGGAAGCAGAACTGTGTTCCGCCAGGGGAAACAGGTGGTGTTCAGAGACGAAGATGGGTCCGGAGAAGATGAGGACATAATGGTTGACTCAGGTAAGCTGTTGTTGTGCTGCACCAATCAAAACTGTCAAGTTAGTAGGAAGAAAAGGAAAAAAAACAGAGTGCTTCTTGTCTCCTCAGATGACGACTCGTGGGACTTGGTGACGTGTTTCTGCATGAAGCCATTCGCAGGCCGAGCCATGATTGAATGTAACAAGTGCAACACCTGGATCCATCTGTCGTGCGCCAAAATCCGTAAGAGCCATGTTCCAGAGACATACGTGTGCCAAAGCTGCCGAGACCTACACGGACCCCCAGACGCTCGCCGCTCCCACCGCTCACGTGTAGGCTCACGTAAACACCTGCTAGACTGACCCCCCCCCCCCACCACCCCAGGTCGAACCATGAACTCTGGCCCCTTCTCCACTTTTCTCTGCCCCCCACCCGATGGGACTGACCTTTCTTTAAACGCAGGACCCTTCTGTCCTCCGTGATCAGCCATGAACCCACGTTTTCTACACTCTGGTGGACCTATCCCAAAAGCCCTTTCTCCCATATGAAAACGGTTCAGTGCTGTTTTAGGTCATCTGGGGTTTGTTTCTGCTTCCTACAGGCTCTGTGCGTAAAGGCAATCACTGAATCTGTCTGTGGAAGGCAGCAGAGCAGCAGCACACGGCTACTGTTGATACTCGGTACACTGGAAACATTTAGAACTGCCATATCCTCACAACTGCCACCCACCATGGTGCATGCTGGGATTTATGGGTGAGATGGTTTGCACTTCTTTTTTTTATTTTTAAATATATCCGACGTTCTCGTCACAGAAACATGTACGTGTTTCTGATCAAACTGGACTTGTTTCCTCTAGGATGCTTCTATTAATGTTACACACTAATTGTTTAAAATAAGTAAACAAGTAAAGCTTTGTGTTCCTGCTTCAGATGGTGCTATAGTATTATGCTGAGGTATAATCCAGTAGAACAAAGATGTAGGAGAACGGGCTAAAGTCTGCATCTGCTCCATCGTTGTGTTGTTATTTAAGGCTGTAGGCCCGTTCGTCTCGCCCCTCCACGCTTCAAGCCGTCTTCCAACCCCAGCCTCTGATTTGATAAGTTAGTCGACTTTATATGAAGCTTTCACCACTTCTGCTTTCAGCTTTTAAACTGTGGTTTTTAAGAAACTAATAGAACAGTTAAAAAGGCCAAATAACTTAAATGAATCTGATCAAATTCAGACATTCACAGTTGTTTCAGGTCCCCTCTGCTTATGTTTATTTATGTTGTGTTAAATTTTAAAACTGGAATGAGATTTTATTTTGTTGAATACTTCATATTTTCTGTAAGTAATGGCTTCATGTTGATGAGAACCTGAAGCCCTGGTTAAGCTTCTGTAAGGAAACTGTTAACAGGAAACGTTAGCAGTGCCTGGAAGAGAGAACCTTCTGCAGGTGAAGCTGTGCACCTGAGAGCGCCGGACATGCACTGAAGCTAAATTCAGTGTTTTTTGGCCTTTTGCAAGATGAAGAAAGCAGGAAACTTTAGTTCCAAGAGAAGATTTCAGTCCCTTATTGCCTCATTTTCATAGCAGTGTTTGATTCCACGAAAAGCAGATTTGATGGAAAACGTTTTTAGGACACTTTTTATTTTATTCCTAAAACTTGCTCCACTTTGGGTAAAACCTTTTAAGCTTCATTATTCCCGTGCCATCTGCTGTTGGGTCTGCCTGTGTGCAGACTAAATATGATTTCTGATGATATAAAAGCCATACTGTAGACAGATTTTACACGCGGGACCTTTTACGATGCAGAATGAAGGACTTGACCGGGTAACAACCACGATGAATGTTTAGTTTGTAAACAACAGGATTTAAAAAGTTTTAAGGTTGTGAATAATATTTATGTTCTCATCTGCCATTTACAGATGTAGGTTGTCTAGTTTGCGCAGTCAATCAGCGAAAGACGTTTTTGAGTCAATTCAAATAAAGAATTGGTTCATTTTCACGACTTTCATCTTGAAAGGAGAATCCGAAGACGCCTTCAGGCACAAATTCCACGTTTTAACGTGTGTCTTAAAGACTTTGTTTTGGTTCGTGTCAACATTGTGATTAGCTTGTTTCTCCTGATCCTGGGTCGTCCTGTCTCCTTGCTGAGAAAGCGTTGTCTGTACTGTGTTGCAAAACTGTTTCTGTGAAACTCTTGTAAAGTATTGTAAATAAAGAGGTACCATTTTAGCCCGATGAGCTTTGTTGTTCTTCTGCAGCGTGATCATGTAAAGTGTGGCTGTAATCAGACGCTACATCTGCTCTTACTCCATATTTATTGTTATCTTTACAGGATGAGCGCCGGCTCCTTTCAACCATAAGCAACATTTACATAATGCAAGTCCGTTTGGGTGGAATGTGGAAGTGAAGGAGCAGCTTCTGCAGAAAGAGACCAGATGATCTAACAAAACGGCACATTTAAGACAACAGAAATAAAACAATACTAAGGGTTCAGTGCAAAACGGCTGCTGCAGTAACAAGATCAGCTTTACTTAATCCAATGTAAAACTGCTACATTGAAGTTTTCAGCACTATGTTAATTAGCCTCATACCTATGATATGTATTTACATTTAGTGCAAAAATATAACCTTTGTAGGCTGTGAAAATGCAGCTTTTTAACTACTTTTAGTGTTTCTGGTAATGTTGAGGTTTCCCTGTAGTTCATTAAATAGTTTGCTCCCTCCAAAAATTAAAAGTAAAGCGATAAGCAGCTTTTTGTTATTGCACAATCCATCCACCAACAGATGGACCAATCAGATAGGGAGTAAAATCCAATTAAACTGGCCTAAATGAGAGCTTTACTGTTCGGCTGGAATTAGCACCTCTAAGTGCCACCACACTTGATTGTTCATCAGGAGTTGGGAGCGCTGTGTGTGCCGTTCTGCTGAGGAACCAGTTACAGCAGAGGTCAAATAGTGTGTGAACCACTAAAAAATAGATGGCAATGGAAATCCATCTGCACTTCTGCTACGTATACAGCAACAAAAACATAAATAGACCAGTTTTTGTGGGGCTCCAGCAGTAAAGGAGCTACAGGATGCAGGTTTGATAGTTTCTTTAAAGAGGTTCTTCACTGAGAAACCAGTTTTACTTATTTTTGAAAACGATCGGTTACTCTTTTTCATGCAGTCTGATCATGAAAATAGTCTCCTACACCTATCTCCTGCATTAGCTTCCGATAGAAAATAGATGGTGAAACTCTAGGATTTGAATAGCCTGACAGATTAATCACACTGTCACAACATATATAGACTCAGTCATCTTGACTCATGACGGGGAAGGCTGTTGTTGGTTTAGCGTCCAGGAAACAGCAGAGAACATCTCGGCTAGTAGAAGCTAATCACTAGCATTAGCAACTCCACCACATGGCAGAACTCCTTCTGATTTGTGCTATTTGTGGAGATACAACATCAACGTTGCAAAGCAAAGATAGTGGTAGCTGTGTTGCTATTGGCCAATCAGAGGAGAGAAGACTCCTTATCTCTACTATAGACCATTGCAATTGTATTAAAATATGAGTGAAGGACCTCTTTAAACACTTTTTCTAAATCTCAGCAAACATATTCATGTTTTTGCTTTTAGTTTTAAATACTACACCAATATTTATGGTTACTACTGGCTTTGTGCCCAGTAAACAAGTACAAACTATAACCTTCAGCATATGAAAAATCACAGAAAATTCAGTTTTGGCTCCCAACTCCTCAGAAATGATCAATGAACACAAACTCAGATTAAATCCAAGCTGTGTTTCTGCCTCTAAGCTGCATTCTACACTATTAAAAATCCATGAGGAAAATAAAAACCTGTCTGTTTTTAGTTGGATCACAACTATCAGAAGGCTTGTCCAATCTATACCGCCTTCATTTTTCCTTTTCTTCACAGTTAATCATTATAAAGTAACAGCTGACACCTACAGCAACACTCAGCAGCGACGCCACTGAAATAATATTACAAATTTGAACAAAACACTTTTGAACATGACCCTAAAACATGATCTCGGCCTGTCCTCCATCCTGATTAGCCCAGGGCTAACTGAAACACGGTCCTGCACGGTGCTGTTCCCACAGTCTTCTGCCTGAATGACTTAGTTATGCTGAAAAATATCAGAGCAAGACACATCAAGGACAAATAGTACAATCATACAGTGAAAATGATGCCTCCGTTGTATATGGCATCACCATATCTACAGTAATAATCAGCCCCTCTGTGTCCTACAAATATAAAACCTTAGTTCAGGACTGACGTCGGATCTCCTGTGGCGGAGAGATGCGAGCCGGATCGGCCAGCAAGGAAAACTCAGAGCTGACCCAGCTGGAGCCGAGAACTGGCCTTAAGGAAAGGAAGGAGTGGACAGAGCTGTGGGACGGATTCACTAATACAAAGACAGAGGAGAGCTACAGCAGAGAAACCAGCTCCTGTTAAGAGTCGTGGGGTTTCTTCCCTGCACACGAAGTCTGTTTTATCCTCACTTGCTCTCTGGTACTTCGACAGCAGCGGGCTCTTAGGACTCGGACTCGATTCTGTGAGCTGACAAGACAAAAAACATATCCAAGCCGTTTAAATGTGTTTGCAAGCACGAGTTGTGTAATTAGCCCGCAGCTCCGTGAATCAGAGGTAAAAGTGGCTGCATACTAACATTGCTTGGGTATTCGTAGCGGCTCGGTGTCTGCAGAGATGACTTGATGCATGACCCCTCTGAACTGGTATAGTAGTTTTAGGCTCTTTTCCTCTCCAACACAAGGGTCGTAAAAGCCCGGCAGCCCTGCCTGCACACACAGATATGAGCTGCTCGTGTGCAGATTCAGAGAAGCTTTCGGTACACTTGCCATTTGGTGAAACACACCTTAGACGCTTCAGTGAGGATGAGTTTGGAGTCTTTGACCAGGCACTGCAGCGGCACAGTGACGTCAATAACCTTGGCTTTGTCCTGCTTCTGGCTGGTGTCAGACACAAACTTCCCGTACCAGGCGTTCAGGACGATAAGACCTATGCAGAGATTTAGCAGAGGCTTAGCACCTGAACCTTCTCTAGTAGGTAGAAAATACTACATTTGTAAGCTAAATTACAAAAAAAGAGACTAAAACACACTTAGTTATTTGTCCAAGACAATTATCCAGTAATGCACATATCTATAAGACATAGGACGTGTTTTCAGTACCTACTCTTGCTTCTTTGATGCCAATGAATGTAGCTTTACATTGAACATCATTGAATACCAGATAGATCCACAGCAAGCCTACTAATTTATCCGGATTCTGTACAGAGAGTTTCTAGATTCAGGCAACGTCATAGATCCATCGAGGTAAACCGGCCAATTAGCACACAGCTCATTTAATATTCATGGCTGAGTGGGCAGAGCAAACCAGTCTTTTCAATGTAGGGCTTTATTTTGGGGTTGTGTACGACCATCATTTCGATGCTTTACGGAGCGTTTCAGAACCGTTTCCAATCGTGGATAAAATGTTGTTCTAAGACTCCTTTGAAAAATTTAGAAGTGTGAGAAAGTCTCACAAACATCTTGACACATTTCTGAAACTTACTCCCAAATGCTGCATGCTGCTGTCACCAGTGAGATCCTGACCTAAACCATCTGAACATGCGCTGACTGTTCTGTTTTAGGGAGCTTTGGCTTTTACTGTTCCGCTCTCGTCTGACCGACCAGCACTACCTTTTAATAACGTAGAGGTTTCCCTAAGTCCACACCGTGCTCTTGTGTTGTATCATCTCCGTTTGTACAATATCTGTTCAGGTGTGGGGATCAGAAAGATTCCCAAGCTTTTCCAGCCTGCTACATAAAGGTCTTTTTTGTTTGATATAGAATGATCAATTTCTCGTTTCGTAAAGCTAACAGATGTCAATTGCACTTTCAAATTAGCAAGTAATCAATAAAAATCGATGACATCATTGTTACTGAACAATACTTGATCAAACATGCTTGTGTATTTTTAAGACCTTTTTAATCTACTTTTAGTACTCGTTAATGTCCGAATGTGTTTTAGGAGCAGATTTATGCAGAAATACTACAAAATGCTGAGTTTGCTAAACTTTAGGTGCCACAGCTGAGGGTAGAAGATAATTATGATGCTGTATTTAACATGACCAGCAACTAAGAACTATTGCAGGTTTGGTGTGTTTTATTGAAAAGTAAAGTACGCGTTTCCTCCTCCAGCCACGAGGACAAGCTGTGACATCTGTCATGAAGAAGAGATGGTGGCCTCTCAGCTCTTTTAAGTGCTCTGAAAACATCCAGAGATGAGCACATTAAATAAACGTAATCGTGTAATAAACATAAAGAAACCGTAATTGGGATGCTGAAATGTTCATTTTAAACGAAGTGTGTGAGTATTCTTGCGTGTAACCCACAGAGGTGGTCTCTAAAAGCACCAGGACTTGCTTCACAGCACCAGATGATGGAAGTCAGACATCCGGGATTCTTGAGCCACAGAATATTACGCAGTGTTGACAGCAACAAAGATAAATGCATCTGAATTACAATTTTGGATTTTCACCAAGTCTGGACTGACTCCAAACTGAGAAAAGCTTTTATTTCTCACCCTGATTGTGTGTGTGTGTGTGTGTGTGTGTGTGTGTGTGTGCGCGTGTGTGTGTGTGTGTGGTGTGTGTGTATGTCCTCACCCATCTTGGATTCTTCTGCTTCTATGATTCTCCTCACAGACTCCTGCATCAGCAGAACCTGTGGAGGCACCGAGAGAAAGGAGCAGGGGGGGTGCAGAGGAGAGTAAAACTTCGGATGGATGAAATCCGGTCAGGAGTTCATAATGAGGAGGGCTGAACTCATGAACAGTCATCTGTTGTGTCCCACACACACACAATGAAGCAAAGGAAAAGCCCCGCCGGTACTTACAGCGGACTCTGCCTCCTGCTTCTTCTGGGCGATGTCGGTGGCGGAGCTTTTCCTCTGCAGCTCCAGCTCTCTGAGAGGCACAAAGCAGACATCAACAACAAACCACTGGGACTGACTGTGGAGGCTTTTGCTGATGGCAGCACAAGCACGAAAGAAACCTCCCGACACACACTCATAAACTGGGATGCAAAATGTTTACGCATAATGGGAGTTTAGGCAAACTTTTGTGGCCCACTATTGAGCGAGTACGGGGAAATGTCATAAAACAACGATTAGAGGTCTTAGTGATGATGAGTTATTGATGAAGAAAGGCAGTCTTTAATAATGTAAGCTTAAAAGGATTTAGCTGAGATCTCCCGGACTAAAGTAATGCTAGTTGATGCAGGAGAGGTTATTTACTCACTGCTCCTTCTGAGCTTTGGTGTACGGGATTATGATCAGTCTGTGGACGGCCATGTACACCAGGAGAGGTCCTACAGTGGCGTAGAAGACCGCACTGGGCAGCAGCTGATCAGTCAGGTGGACTGGAAACAGGTACGTCTGACTGGCACGTGCCAGCCTGTCCAAACAAAACAGCAGGGTGAGCTAAAACACTCTCTCTCCTGACAATCGTTCTGAGAGACAAGGACACACAGAGGAATGAGATCCTATCTTTGGGCAGCCGTACTTGATCTTGAGCGTGACTCCCTGTGGGACACCAATGCTGACGGCGGCCGACAGAACACTGTGTCGGCTGATCTTCCTCTCCGCTCCGTACTCCACTACGGTACCGAACCAGCCGGTCCTGTCAACAGAAGAACACCGAGGTGAACCAAAGCTGTGCTTTAAAAAAATTCTATATTAACCGTTTATTTTGAATCAATCTAGTGAGAAAATAACACAAATGACTAAATCAGATGATCCATCCATCCAATTTCTGAAGCCGCTTGTTCATGTAGGGTCGTGGGGGTGGGGGGTTTGGTGCCTATCTCCAGCGGTCAACGGGCAATTGGGCGGGGTACACCCTGGACAGAGAGCCAGTCCATCGCAGGGCAACACAGAGACACACAGGACAAACAATCATGCACACACTCACACCTAAGGACAATTTGGACAGACCAATCAACCTAACAGTCATGTTTTTGGACTGTGGGAGAACGCCGGAGTACCCGGAGAGAACCCACGCATGCACAGGGAGAACATGCAAACTCCATGCAGAAAGATCCCAGGCCGGGAAGCGAACCCAGGACCTTCTTGCTGCAAGGCAACAGCTCTAACCACTGCGCCACTGCGCAGCCTAAAAATCAGATGAAATCTTTGGAAATGAGAGTAATTATGGATTTTGCGGGATTATAGTGAGGTGTGTGATTCACCAGCTAAACCAAACTGGTGCTGTTGGTCATCATTTTCAGAAACAGCTGTAGGAGGCTTAAAACAGCCTGAGGACCAAACTGCTACCAGGGCGAGGCCTTTTCAGGACAGTTTATGCTCAGACACAATGTTAGGACTCAGCCCGGCATCAGGACAACAGCTACATCAACACAGTCTCTACCAGGCAGACTAAAAACCTGAAGGTCAAAAGCAATGATTCATGATGTCCTGACAGACCCTAACCACCACAATGCTCAGTTTGTTTGTTTTTTCTTCTTCTCCTTAAATTTAATTATCATACATGTCAAAGAAAACAAAGTAAGGAGTGCATATTTTACCCAACAGCTTAGATTTTTTTTCTCTTGTTAAAAACTAAATGAGCAAAAAATAAATAAATAATAAAAAAGAACTTTGCATCTGTAGGATGTAAATTAAAATGTACTTTCAAATAAAAACGTGTGTATAAAAACACAGACGCGCAGATCAAAGAAACAAGCTAATCTTAAAACTCATCAGGTTTCCTTCCCTCTAGATGGTGCGCAGGCTTATTAATAGAAGTAAAACAGGTAAATTACCGAGCACAGGGTATCTGCAGGTTTAAGGGAGCCAAATTTAAGACTTTTTAAGACATTTTTTAAGGCCAATTTGACCAAATTTAAGCTACTTTTTAAAATTAAATTTAAACTATAATTTCCAGCTATTGCGAATGTGGGATTAGCCATCCAGTTACCATAAAAGTTGCACGTCCCCATGGCGCAGTCTCCCACTAGCTTAACCAGCTAATGTGCTCATCTAAAAAAGCCCCCTTTCACAACCAACTGAATTGAGTACGGTTCCGCTTATGCCAATATCATACACAAAAAATGCTGAACACTAACTAGAAATTCATGAAAATTGAAATAAAATAATCTTGTTTATTGGGTCTTTGGTAATTTAAGACCTTTGGAAACTGTATTTAAGGATTATTTGTCATTTTTAAGGATTTTTAAGGCCTTAAATTTGGAAAAGCAAATTCAAGACTTTTTAAGACTTTTTAAGGACCCGCGGATACCCTGCGAGCAGTTTGCAAACAGTTTGGTGCTAAACTTAACCCACATACTTGACCGAGCCTTTCACTTTGGTCTGGTCTTCATCCTGGAACTTGTACTGGTAACTCATCATCAGGTAGGAGTGAGGCACACCCAGCTAGCAGAGAGATGGTACACAACAGATCACAAAGAGATGAAAGGAATAAGAATCACAACTTCATGAACTCGTATTTAATCACCTGCAGAGCTAGGGTGAAGTGGCTGCTCTTTGTGTCTCGGACCAGGCTGGTAGTCATGGCGCTATTGGGCCCCCAGCGCCACTGAAGGTAGCCCATAGTGTTCTGGTCCAGGTGGCGTGCTGTCATCAGAGAGCAGCTTGGCCGCAAGCCTCGAGGAGAGAACTGCAAACCGCACTGGGCTGTGAGGAAACTGGACAGAAAAACGACAGACAGGAAATGTGAAAGGGTGGATAAGGATGTTCATTCGACCTGTTTTAGGCCTTACCAGCGCGGAGTAATGTTACGGAACACCTTTAACCCAACAAGAGGTCCTAGTATGTCTCCTGCACCAAACTCTACCTGCAGAAACACAAATCATGCAATTGAAGACTCAAGCTCACGTTGTTTTAAAAGAACTGAGCATCTCTGGGTATTTGTGTACCTCCCCCCAGCCTTTTGCCGACGTAACTCTGCGTACGGTCATGTTAATGTTGCCCCCTCCACTCCCATTGTGTGTAGAAAGGGAGCCAGACAGAACGGCTGTGTCAGTATTTGTCAGAGGAGCCTGAAGAAAGACAGAGTTGCATGGCGAAACCAAAACAGGACTCTTGTTCAGGCTGAACGTGGAACATAAATACTAACCTCTATGGACTGGGATATGTGCATCTTGTTGATTTCTACATGAGGAAAGCCTCCTCCTGGCATCTCCTCAAAGTCCTCGTCGTAACGGTCGAACAGGTCTGTTGCATCCACACCAACACTTATGGTGCCCTGGATGGTGTGACAGCAGAAGTGCATGAATGTGACCACCCGTAAGAGAGAAGCAGTGAAGCAGAGTGAGAAAGGAAATGAGAGACTGGGTGAACCTTGGGATTTGTTCTTTGCTGCAGTCGTCGCTCTTCTCTTTCCCTCTGTAGTCGTTCATATTCCTCTCGAATTTCTGCCGGTGCCCTCTTCCTCTCCACCACCTATCATCATAATCATCATCATTAAACCTGGGTCATTTAGCATGTGCAGTGAAGCAGCAAAGCCACTCAAATGTTTGAAGACATACCTCCCAGCCCTCCACCTCCAGCCCTTTCTTCCCAAAGATGTCATAGATGGCTCTGGAGTGAGCGTCGCTCAGCACTGAAGGAAAGAAAAGAAAACTATAATTTTGTGGTTTTGTGCACTAGTGTTAAAGAAAAGTGTTTAATGCAAAGGTGCGTTAAACCATATATATCACACAGTAAATATGCTGCTGTTTGACTGGCGTGTTGCCCACTAACCTTCATAGGCCTGGTGCACCTGGTTAAAAAGCTGCTCCGCTTGTCTCTTCAGCTCTGGATCTCGATGTTTGTCTGGATGATAGAGCATACAAAGCCTACGATATGATGATTTCAGCTCCTCTAATGTTGCCTGTGACAGCAGAGAAGACACGAGTCACATCAAGAAATTTAAACATCTGGGATGTAAAGTCTTGCTTTTAAAATGCGGGAAATAATCTAATTTTGTTCCAAAAAAATAAAATAAAAAACACAATATAAATCATAAATCTGCCAAATTACGTTATTCTCTCTTGATGCCACAAAGCATCAAATTTGAAAATACTGCAAATAAACTGCTCAGGTTATTTAGGATCAGGAAGGAAGGTTTTAGGTCATGATCGGCTGAAATCACAACCCATGTCTGTCAGGCATCCTGGTTTTACATATAAAAAGAATATCAAGAAAATGCTAATTATGAAAGTCCTATTACTTCTAAATACTCCCCCTCTCGCCAAACGACACATTCGTGTAATTAATGGAGATCCAGGTGAACATGACATGGCTCTGAATGAATCTGTAGCATCAACTGTGATCTGCCTCCTTCCCCGAGTCCGGGCTAACTGAGTTGTATGCTAGCCGGGGGTGAAGCAGCGATGGAGGCTGCTTCTTCAAAGACTTTCACCGTGAAGAACGCGAGTCTCACCTCTTTCCTGACGTTGAGAAGAGAATAGTAGTCCTGAGTGTTAAAGTCAAATTCGTCTTCTGCAGACGCCGCCATGTTTGAGTTACACCAGTCTGGCTCCGCCCACCTTCTCAGTATCCTCGAAGCTCATTGGTCAACATCACTGCGAGTTTGTTGGTGGTTTTGTCGCCATCTGCTGGTTTAAATTGAAATAGCGCCAAAAAGTCAATCCAGAACAAGAAAGACAAACCAAGGAAACGTGACGCTATAAACTTCATATTTCTGTCTATTGTTAACTGGAACAATGTATGTATGTCTTTAGAGAGAGAGAGAGAGAGAGAGAGAGAGAGAGAGAGAGAGAGAGAGAGAGAGAGAGAGAGAGAGAGAGAGAGAGAGAGAGAGGAGAGAGAGAGAGAGAGAGAGAGAGAGAGAGAGAGAGAGAGAGCAAATATTCCAAACACATTTAAAAATACACGATATTCATTTTGTTTTTGATTCTATGCACTTTACTTCTGTTTACTTCTCGTTGCAACTTTTGGACTTGAAACTCTGTGCAGGACTTGAGGTGTTCAGGGTTCTTTTGAATGTATTTATATAAAATAGTGCAGGATGTTTTGCTTTTTGATATCTTTTAACCTGCTTCATGTTTTCAGACATGCTCTATTAACCCTCCCATTGTCCTAATGGGTGTGACCCCGTGAGGAATGTTGACCATTGAGCAGGACTGATGGTTTATCCCTTAGGTCCATGTGGCAGGGGTGAGGAGTGAGCACCGCCTCACCCCTGCCACGTGGACCTCAAGGGATAAACCATCAGTCCTGCTCAATGGTCAACTTTCCTCACGGGGTCACCCATAAAGACAGTGGGAGGGTTAAAGTGATTTATTAATTCTACAAATCTGGCAGCAATAGGGCCTTGGTTTAATGACGCTGGCAGCATTCCAATAAACAAGTAATTACGATTAATTCATGATTTAACAAAAGATCATTTCTTTTCTGCACACGACCAAGATAGCCTTTTCCCCATCATAAGTTAAATGTTCATTTGAAAACTGCCTTGTCAGGTTGTCTTTGTCTGATGCTGATTTTTCTTTTCTAAAAGTAACACCAGAAAAAAATTCTGTCAAGGGGAAACTTTCCCCCAGCACTATAGATCAGTTAGAAAATATAATTTAATAAAAAAATAACGTGAAATTGAATAAACATTGATTAAAGTGCTAGACATGTGCAATCAACAACAAATTCCAACAAGTAACTGATGTCTTGTGAAGTAAATAGCTTTGACACGAGCTTAAATAAACAAATAAAACAAAAATAAATAAAGAAAATAATAGCAATAAATGCAAATATGCTATAAATAAAATGTAGAATCTGAGTTTTAGTTATTTTTTATCATGCTTGAAACCTTTTGTGTCTTTGAGACACATTAGGCAAAACAAATCATTCCGAAGCTGAATTTTTCTTATGAATCATCTTATAACTTGTCCCTAAAACACCAGGCTTTGGTGGAAAGGCCATATTCCACCCTGCGGCAAAGTGTCAGTGTGGGCTGCAAACGGGGACATGATGGTCCTAGTTAAGCCCCACTATTAAGCAGGGATAACCGAGAATAAAACGTTTGAAAAATAAAAAAAAAATCTTTTGAGGATGTGAGGGGCATGAATTCAACTTTGCGAGGTGGAACTGTAAACGTAATTCCACGGTTTTCTGCCTGAGTCCAAATCAAATCAGACTGGGGGCATGTTTTCTGCTCCTCATAAGTTTTCCTCTGACCCATCATAACTTCGGTTTAATAACTCAGAGGCAAGCAGCAAGAGGACAGTTTGTGTAGGCGCGTGTGTGGAGCTGTCCTTTCAGCACCGCGAGCTTCAGCACCACAGCAAACGACAGCGCGCGCTGCAGCCCACGCGCTTGAAAAAGTGTCTTTCGATCAGTTCTTTTCATTGAAATTCGGGAGAGGAAGGGGTGTCATAATTTATGACAAGACCTTACATTGAGTTTTCTCAACAGTCCGCGGGGTTTATATGCGAAAAAAGAGCGCGTGCAAGGGAGAGTTTCCGCGTTTGTGCTGTGTGTGTATGTATGGGCCAAAGTTGTGCGTGTTTGTGTAAGGGAGAGAAAATGTTGATGAACATGATGATCATGATGATGGTGATGATGATGATGCTGTGGGAGGCTGTCAAGGTGTCCTCCAATACAGACGTTGTGTAGTGACGTGCGAGTGAGAGAGAAAGCGAAGAAGATAGCGCGTGAACATGAAGGGGCGTGGCTAAAGGGAAGAAAAAGAGGGGATGTAGAAGTCCTTGTTGGGCAAGACGTTCTAACATATAACCAAAACACATCGCATCTCATAGCCCTAAGTAGCATTCTTACTAGAAGTAGTTTTCAAAAGTAGTTCTGTTGTAGTTGGGTTCAGGTTATATATATATATATATATATATATATATATATATATATATATATATATATATATATATATATATATATATATATATATATATATATATATATATATATGTCATACATTGAAATTGTGTTTTACAAAAGATATTTGTAACTGAAATATTAGTCCCATTGCAGCTTATGTAATTTTTTTAAATCTAGCCATGAAACTTTAACATTTTGGATTTCTCTAATGACATTTACTCATTAAAATATTCATAGATTACATTGATTTTCTGCCTTATATGCATTCATCAAATGCTGAAACACAGGATGACCCCTTAGATCACTTGTCTATTGCAGGGCCAATGTACACACACACACACACACACACACACACACACACACACACACACACACACACACACACACACACACACACACACACACACACACACACATACACACACACACAAATGCATGTTTTGGAACAGAATACAGCAAAGCTAACCAATTGCAATGCAATCCCCCTGTTGCGTTTTGGATATCTACAATAATGTGACTATAGTAACAATGACATCCTAAACGTGGGGTTCCTCTGAGTCATAAATATTAGAAATGATGTTGCCTGTACTTGTTATCTGGAGTTGAGACCCCAAAACATATGGATGAAAAAGGGATGTCATTTGTTTGGATAGACCAACCCTGAACTTTTTTTTAAATTGCCCATTCAAAGTGTCTTTCTTATTTGAAGAATCTCCCTGATTTATTTCAGGTGTGATTAAGTAGAAAATCATTCACAACCTGCATGATGGTGAGTCATCAAGGACCTGAGTTGAACTCCACAGGATGAATGTTGTTTGGGGCATCTGAGATGTTCATCAGTTTTATTCTGGGGAGCCCAAATGTTCATTTTGTCAATAGGGACCATTCATCTTTATATGTTATATTCACCTGCCATACACTGCGCGCCGCTATCACGGACCCATCGCCGTCAGTCCTGTTCCTTTGGACCAATAAGATTCCTGAACGCGGCAGGCTTGCCCCCCACCTCCCCTCCTTCTTAGCCCCGCCCCCCTTCCTTGAGCTGTCCTCTCTGTGCACGCGCGTGGTCCTCCCCAACACCATCACCAGCATCCACCACCACCCCTCCCTCCAACACTAGGTCGAGTCGAGGAGGAGGAGGAGGAGGAAGAAGAGGAGGAGGAGGAGGAGGGATGAGGCGCGCGGTGGAGGGGAAATGGCTGCCGAAAACAAGCCGGAAGGTAAGAAGGAATAACGGGTTTTATTTCAGGCGGCGGAGTGCAGATATACTGGTTCTGGACGAAGCAACGGGGGGACTTTTAGTCAGAGAGGAGGGCAGAGATAACGGCGGGGCTTTCCCTCTCTTCGCTGGCCCCGTCCTGAAAACACGGAGGCTGGTGCTGAACCAGCGACTGTGAGCATCTCGGTTAACCGAAAGCAAACCAGCAACACCAGGAGAGTCGAAATATCCTTTTGTATAAATTTAATTAGCTGTTTTCCCCTTTGAGCGTCCGTCGCTTCAGCGTTTCCCCTGAGTAGCTGAGTGAAAGCGATGAGAAAGGATGAGCGAGGTTCACGCTGAAGGAATTCAGATGCTCTGTGTGCACGCGCTCGTGTGTCTGTGCGTGCGTGCGCGCGCGCGTGTGTCTTCTAAAGCGTAAAATAGATCACTGAATTGCAGATTTTTCTGTCCTGACAGGCGCACAACCTGCCCGACCAGCTGTGTGTTCATTTCGCCTCAGTAGCACCGGTGTTTCATATATTTTTCCATATATTGTTTATTTTTTTCCTGCGTGTTTATGTTTATGTGCTCACTGTGCTTTGGATGTGGTTGCTAAGGCGTTGAAGGTGAGAATCTGGCTGTATTTAGGTTGGCACGGGGGTGGCGTGCATGTGTGTCAGTTTTAGGACATCTCATGGATGGATCTAGTTTATTTGCTCCTTTAACTAAAAACTCACACAAACACTGTTTATGTCAGCCAGCTGTTCGGGTCATTCATCAACTCAGTTTAGCAACAACCTTTCTTTTAACTTGTGTGTGTTGCGTTTGATCACACTTCTCATTTCAATGTTTATGCGTCTTTAAAGTTCTACTGGTGCCTTGAAGTGATATATTCTCTCAAGTAACATGATATTAAAAAAAATCAAATATTGATCCGAAACTTGGTAAAGCAGCAAAATTACACAAATTTCTGCAGGGAATAGTTTGAACTCTTTCTCCACTGGGGAGCAATGCTGAGCAGGAGTTCTCCAAGGGGTACTTTCTGGTTAACAAAGGTGAAGCATATGCCTAAAAATCATATTTCAGCCATAGTTCATCACAAACTTACATGTGTGCGACGGAGCATGCAGCGTGTTGCCAGAGGCAAAGGGAGGACCGTGGGTTGAGAGTTCTGTTGTGTTAAAAGACTATAGAACTAAAGATGAGGCAGAAAGGCCCATGAGCAGTTCGGAAAGCATTCTATCACATAAAATTAACATTTAAAAAATGCCCCCTTTTGTGTGCATACACACACAAATGCCCTCACACATTGGCGGTGTGAGAGATTTTTGGCCCCCTTTGCTGTCATACGTAGAATGGATGTAATAATTTACAAGCCTCAGTCATGCTGACTGAAAGCCAAATGAGTCTCAGTGACGAAGCCAGGAGACAGCCATCCAATCTTTCCATTCTTTGACAGATGTGTTGTGTGTGTGTGTGTGTGTGTGTGTGTGTGTGTGTGTGTGTGTGTGTGTGTGTGTGTGTGTGTGTGTGTGTGTGGGTGTGGGTGAGATGCCGAGCACCACAGAATACCAGTGGGCAACAGAATGACATCCACCACCATATAGCCTGGAAGACCATCTCCCTGTGCACTGGTTGGTCTACTTTGTATCATAGCAACAGTGGTCAGGGAGACAGAGAAATGATGAGAGAGAAGAGAAACTAAACCTGGGTACAAGTTAGTCACACACATGGAGGCAGCGTATCTGCTGTGGCCAATCGATCTGGAGACACAATGGATTCAAGTTAGTGGAACAGAAAATGGATCGGCCCACATGCATTGCGCTCGGAGTTTTGTTTCTGGGTGTTGGGGAGGAAGGATAAGGTGAGATGTAGTTCTCAACGAAACCGAAATCTGCAACAGTTCTTAAATCTGTCATTTCTCTTTTTTTGCAGGACTGAAGAAGATAAGAAATCCAGAGCGAATGGTCAGGATTGCTGTTGGTTATACCGGACACACCCCTCCCAAGAGTGATGACACTGACGCCAACAGTAAGAGACACTCTTCACACAGTTAATGCGTCTGCGTGTGAGGGTGTATTAGTGCCACACACACACACACACACACACACACACACACACACACACACACACACACACACACACACACACACACACACACACACACACACACACACACACACACACACACACACATTTGTCTGTAACACAGGGTGACTCTGGGAGCAAGTATAAAAGCCTTCTGGCAGAATGATGTGATGTGGGAACTGAGGTCTCCTTCTCATCTGTCCTATACCAGATTACACACACACACACACACACACACACACACACACACATACACACACACACACACACACACACACACACACACACACACACACACACACACACACACACACACACACACACACACGCGACGCACACACACACACTCTATCCGTGTTTCTCTGCTGAGACGTCATAACACTTCAGCTCTGTCACACATTGTGTCTATTCATGCGTGCCAGTGCAGAATTAGTGCACACACACACACACACACACACACACACACACACACACACACACACACACACACACACACACACACACACACACACACACACACACACACACACACACACACACACACACACTTATCCCTACAGAAGGCAGGGCTCACTTTGAGTATCAGTAGTTATTGTCATACTTAATCTGTACACTTGGCATTATGTATCTATAATCCTCAATGGGCCTTGTTAAACTAGACGTGAGATGGAGTGTGTAATGTGCATCTGTGTGTGTGTGTGTGTGTGTGTGTGTGTGACTGTGTGTAAGCAGCACGTGTGGTCGCCGTGTTGTGTTAGTGGGATTATAAGGGCAATAATGGCTTTGATTGGTTATTAATTCCAGAGGATGCGGGGCAGATGTGGACCTGTTAGGGGGACAAATTGGAGCCAAATAAAGATATGTAAGGAGGTGCGAACAATCATGCTGTTCAATCAGCTGAAATGCACACACACACACGCACACACACACACGCACGCACGCACGCACACACACACACACACACACACACACACACACACACACACACGCGCGCGCGCGCGCACACACACACACACACACACACACACACAGACACACATCCATCACTCCAAATAGCATGTTTATTTCAAAAAGAACAGATGGTCTCACACTAGATCCTGTTAAAATAGACTAGAATAGAACAGAACAGAATAGAATAGAATAGAATAGAATAGAATAGAATAGAATAGAATAGAATAGAATAGACGGTTCTGTTTGGGGTGGCTGTTTGATTTAAGCCGGAGCTTCTAGAGCCTATCCCTGTCTCCTATCTGTTCTCACGTCCCAGCCGGAGGATTACTGGAGGAAAAGTTTATCAGCAGAATGATAAAATTAGCATGCACGCTCATCTTTCCATCCCTCCTCCTCCCGCTCTACCCCCTCCCCTGCTTTCCCTCTTTCTCTCACCCCCTCCCCAGCCCTCTACCCCCCAATCTTCCCCCTGCCCTGGCTCTCCCTTCCCTTCCCCTGTATCCCTCTATCAAGCTGCTGTGCAATGAGCCTTTCTTTCTGTCACATTAATTTCACCCAGAAAAAAAACAAAAAGGAGAAGGGGGATGGAAAATGTGAAAATTTCCCCTGACGCCTCCTAATATCAGTGGGGGGAGCGCTAAGAGTTGCATTTGGAGCATTTTTTACAGAGTAGAGTTTTATAATTAACTGACAGCCATCTCACAAGGGCATTGGCTTGTTTCTGTGTTAAATATGGAGATGACAGTTTTATAGCTAAAATATTCATCAGATGGAGGCGCCTCTTCTGTGTGATTACCATCTAAGTTGTGGTTTTTGATGGGCTACCAAAGCAATGTTTCACTTTGGTCGAACAATTTCACTTTTCAGCACATATTAAGATTCAGGCGTTGTCACACTTTTAAACTATTTCAAGTCTGTAAAATTATCTGCACTGAAATGGTTTTTTTTGTGTGAAGGTCTCGCCTGATTCAGGTAGAAAATTTATTATCTCACACTCTTTATTCAGATTTGTTTTACTTTTGCCGCAGACTGACCAGAGACAAGGGAAATTTTCTTTTTTTTAATTAAAAAAAGGCAGAATAAAAAATAAATAAATAAACATGGGAACCATTCTCTCTCATTTAAAATCCAAGACAACTTTTTCTGAGGTTTAACATTCTATTAGCATTCAAGAAATCTGCAGAGCTGGAGTGTAGACCTTTCCTGATCAGCAGGGAGAACAAATTTAAGGATGTTAGGGTGACGATCGGCTCCACGAAGGTGTGCTTTGAAAACCATTGAGCTGCCAAGGTCACTAGTAGAACAAAAAAGGCCATTCTGGGACCAAAAAAAAAAAAAAAAAAAAGAAAAAAACAGTGACGCGTCATCTTTGATCTGCACGCGTGTGTGTGTGTTTGTGCGTGCCTGCGCATGTGCAACGGGCTTGTTTGATGTGGTGGTTCTGGTACAATTCAAAGGCAAGGCTGTGCCGAGAATCCTTCAGAACAGCAGGGTAAAGTGAGGAGAGGAGGGGAGGAAGGGGGTGGTTTACAGCCAGGAGGGGTGGGGTTTAGACGCTGATTGGCATTCATAGCAGAGAGACTGGAGTGCTGCTATAAAAGAAATTAGGCTTTAACTAAGCTGCACCATTCAGCTGTTTAACTAAGCTGCTGCACAGTTCAGCTGTTTGAAATTCTGTCTTCTCAGGCCTTCTATTAATAAATGCATAATTGATTAGGGGGAGCATACGTGCCTGAACACACTTCCTTACTCCTCACACAATCACACACACATGCATGCTCCATTCCTGTCCTGCAAAAAAAATAAATCTCCTTTTGCATATTTCTGTTTTTCTTTCCTCCTTTTAAAACAGTTTTTGCTTCAGTTTCCTCTTTTTTTTTCTTGATTAGTTGCATCTCTCTGGCTCATTCTTTTGCTGCCTGATTTTCTCCCTCCTGCTGACCCTCCCACCATCACTGCTTTCTCTTGCGTTGTCTCCCCCCCCCCCCCCCCCCCCCCAGGTAGACAATAACTGCTATTCTCCCAGGGAAGTCATAAATAGATGCCCTCTGCTTATCAAATAAATAAATAAAAAACCTTTGAGTCCTCGCTCACTTTGAGTTCTGTTGGGGAACGCACATTCACGAACAGGGACACATTCACACATTCATACTGGGATATGGAGGGGTCCAGCGTTACTGCTCCCATTCAACATTTGGGTGAGCCAGCTTGCACTGTGGGAAAGAGAGGCACAGTAAAAGTAGTTTCACTGGTAATTCAGCACCAACAAGCAGTTTTTTGCTGACAGGAGTGATTTTTCTGTTGCTTCCTCTAAAATATTGTTATCATTGTAGGAGGTATAGGCTTTGTTCACAAAGTGTGTTAGCAGCTGTTAGAAGAGTCTAACCTGGACTTGTGGAGTAAGGGAAAATTAGAGCAGATCATGGGGAGTTAAATGACGCCAAATATGTAAAAGATTTATTTTTTTATAATAAGCTGTGGTTTGGCTCCCTGTTACTCTAGACTGTGTTACACTGGCCCTCCAATGGCTGCCGGTATGTCCGGAGACACGATCTGAACTCCAAATTAAACATCACCTGCCCTCAGCCTGTGACTCTCCAACTCTCGTACAAAAATAGTTTCCTCACAGGAGCAGCTATTCTGGGATTCTCCACTCTATTACCAAACTGTCTGTGTAACACAGTGGAGAGAGCATTGCTTTTAACGAGGATAAGAAATGCCCATGTGATTGGCCGGCTGCATTTACCAACCCCAAATGCACGGATGATGCATGCTAATGGCTTTTTTCTTAATCCAGTACGGTTTTTTGGGTGGACTCAAGGTGCACAGCCACTAGCTGTCCAAAAGTAAAAGCTCTGCCGTTCCTTCAGTCCAATAAATACTCTTTTCTTGTTTTTTTTTGTGCTGTTTTCCCTGCCGTTTTCCCTAATTAGGAATCAACCTTACTGTCTGAACAGGAAGCAGCTGAACTTTCATTTGGTTCTCGTGGAGGTTTTATCTCAAATCCAGGAGCTTTCCTTAGCTCATCGGACTTTGGAGGAAAGCTGGTTTCAACAGCCAAAAAGCTGCCTCGGGCTCAAGAACATGGATTACTGTGACCTGGATGACTCAGAATCTACACAGACAATTAGAAATAACACGCTTTCTGGGCAATTCGAGCTCTCACTCTAACATCTCCATCTGCTTGTTTGCCAAAAACCGTCGTATTCCTGATAAATAAAAACTATCTCAACGGGGAACAAGGTGGACCCATATTAATTAAAGCACATGTCTGCAAAGATTTTTTAAACGCTAAATTAATTCACATGTTTAGATATTTTTAATATCCCACAATAAACGTGCGTATGGGGTTCTCCTGCAGCCAGCCCAACAGATGGTTTGTATTCACTTCTCACTGTTAGTCTGTCAGATTGGAAATATGTTTCTTTTCTTGCTCCTCGTTTATCTTACTTTATCTCACCCCTCCCCTCCCCTCTCCTCCCTCCTCCACTCCTCTCCAGATGAGCCGGGCCAGTTAAAGATCTACCTTCCCAAGAAGCTCCTGGAGTGTCTACCCAAATGTTCCTCTCTGCCCAAGGAGCGCCACCGCTGGAACACCAATGAGGTAAGGATGAGGCATGCTCGGGAGAGGGCTAAACGCTGGGGCTTTTGTTTTTGCTGGTGACTCATATCTAAACAATGTTGCATTTAGAAATAGAGAGGAGGTAAACATAGGTGGCTTTTTCAGTATGAGAGCTTAAAACTGTGACACTAAAAGAAATAAAAAGCAAACGTCACGACTGAAAGCCTCTTTATTCCATAATTTTGGAGTTTTAAGGAGACATATTATGATTATTTAATAGTTCTATGGTCAATACAAAACATATTTATGAAATTCTTTGCATCAAATCCCTCTCTCGTAAAACACTTTCAGCAGAATTATTCTCAACATTTTCGTTACCTTTCAGAATGAGCCGTTTTAGGGTTCTTTCACTTTAAGAAAACAAGATGAAGATGGCCACGCCCACCTAATCCCCTCTCAGGCTGCAATGATCTGAGAAGCTCCGATATCTGATAGGGGCTCGGAGTAGAGCCGCTGCTCCTCCATCAGCATCTCTCTCTTGCACGTGAGAGGTGGTTCTATTCTAAATTCCCCATTTGTGACATCACAAACTGGGACCTTGAGAAATGGCTTGTTTGAGACACATCATTTCTAAAACCAAACTGACAGAAAACAGATGGACTTTTTTCACATTTGGAGTGTTTATTCTGTCTATTTACTTATATTTCAATGGACAAAAGCCACTTGAGATGAACCATGTTGTTTTCGAATAGGTCCTCCTTAGATATAATCTATAATATTAATTAAAAATAAAAAAGATAATGGATCCTCTCAACACCTTGACTGTGCCTAGAAATCCTGTTATGAACTGAGGAGAGTGAAGTCTGGGCCTGTCTTCTTAGGTTGCTGCCCCCGCGACCCGACTCCAGAGAAGCGGCTGAAAATGAATGGATGAAACAAGATAACATAAACAGCATTTTGCATGTTAAACATAACAACAATTGGCAGAAGATAAACCACAGCTAGAGACCCACATGGCAGCACAAAAAGATGCAAAAGGTGATTTTTGTCCCCTTAACAATTTAGGATTAAGTTCTAGAGGTCAAAAGGTCATACTCAGGGACAGCGACTGGCAATAAAACATCAAGCTACAAAATAAATGTTTGAAAACTTCAGTTAAAAAACAAGCTGTGGCCAGTTTGATATTGATTTTTTAGGGGTTCATGAAGATTGTAGACTGTAAACAAAAGGTGGACAAGGTCACATTGATAACGTATTTGGCTGAATATGGTCACGTCAGGCTCCAAAATGAACAAATGTATAGAGTTCTTTTGTTTTTCTTTCCAAAATGACTGCATATGGCTACATAAAAAAATGGTCGAGTCCAGGTCTTCACTTAAAAAGTGTATCAGTTAATAGAGCAGCATGAAACAGCTGCTTTTCAGTTACCTAGTAAACGTAAACTGCTTCATCACCGAAGTCCATTCCATCAATGCAGAAACAGCTGATCAGACTGGGACAAATGTCTTTGTCAAGCTGCTGTCTGGTATTTCCAAACTGAAAACTGTGACAGGAATAGTTAAACAGACTGAGCCTTCTGTTTTTAATGCGTTGTTTATGCATGCATGTGTAAGGTAAATAAAAATGGTCATTTGTTTCAGCTTTGCTGTCATGTGGAGCAAAAAATGTTGCAATTCTCAATTTAGAGATTTGAAGGCAGCGTTGTTAGTGAACAGTTGCATTGTTAAAGAATTAAGCAGCAGATACAAAACAAAAAACCTTACACGGTTTGAGCACAAGTTACTCCCCCCCCCCCCCCCCCCCCCACACACACACACACACACTGCTCCTTACAGATGGGTCAAAAGCAGAGGACTGTTTCCTCAAGGGGATCAATAAAAGTATGAATTATTCCATTATTATTCAAAAAGTGTTCATGCTCTGACTCATGTTTACTATAAAACTGGGAATAATAAATACAAAATATCACCTACAAACCGCAGCGGCTGCACTTTTTATTCATGTTAAAGCAGGTTGTGCTGTCTTTAATAAAGCTGAGTTAACGTAAAACTAACTTAGAAATTGCAAAGACGATACTCGAAACCTTTTCATTGGTTGTTGCGCTCCGTGGTTGGGACCTTGTCCTGACAAAAGAATATTATTGCAAATAATTTGTGCAGCATGCTGGCGCAGTGATGTAAAACATAGAAAGTAGGGCAACTATAGGGATCAGGAGCAAAGTGTAGCCGGCCACCCCGTTTTTCAACGACAAAGAGTTTAATTATCAGGACTCTGATTCATCATCCTACAAATTACAATAAACAAACAACAAAACACAACATCCAAAACTCAACACAGCAGCACTTGAAATGTTCCACGTTAAAAACTATGTCAAAACCAGTATGTTGACTTTCCTGGGCATCTGTGTTGACTTTGAATGACGACAAATTCAGGCAGAAATGTTTCCATTGACAGGATGAGGACATCTGAGCCTGAAAACGGGTTAGGAGTGAAGGAAATGTATCCGAAAACAGAACGGAGCAGAATGATAACTCGGCCTGTTCTCACACGAATAAAGACCGTTTAGAGAGGCATTAAAGGACTTGTAGAATCAGTAATCCTTGGTAAGATAAGCAAGAAGCGTGGTTAGTAGATGGAATAAACCAATATTAATAGGTGATTGGCCAGTCTGGGCCTCAAGTGCTTTTTGTCATTATATTAAGACATATTTATCCATTACCTACAGAAAAAATCCAACACTTTTGCTGTTCCTTTAACTGACCATGACCAAAGTTAATTTACTCTAGCAATAACAGATCTGTTGTGTTGAACGTTTTTACTTCCAGAATCATAACTTTTAATTTAATAAGAATTTTTAACTAAAACATATTGAAGTAATTTGATGTTGATCAGAATTTTGTAATTTGTAAGTGCACATCAGACCTGTACAAGATTGGGACTTTGGCATTGACCAAACTCATTCGATAGCCCTCTATTTATTTGTAATCAACACATGCAGGTATCCTAATTCACCATATTTGCAGCATAAACAGAGTTGTAAAGTGGATAGGTCCCGTAGTCCAATGCAAAATGTGACCTAGTTAGTTCGGAACACGCGCTCAGTCTTCGCCCAAGATGTCAAAGAGCTAAACACGTGGAGTGTTAAAGCCTTCTGGAGCTGCGTGTCACTCCAGACTTGAGCTGATAGTTTGGGAAAATGTTTGATGGGTAGAAATGGATGCAGGCCTTTATTGTCAATAGCTCCCTGTTTATGCATGGCACAGCTCTCCACTGGTGGTTTGTTCCATCTATTGTGATGCGGTCGGCCTCTGCTGAGACATTTTCTCCATGTGCAGGCGCTGCACTCCATTATGGATGTGTGTTTGTGTGTTTGTTTTATTGATTACCAGGTTCAGCATTATTACGTAATGCAAAGCTTATTTGGCCTGTGGTTTTTCTCTCAGGAAAGTCGTTACATTTTTCATGCAATCCATCTTGATGAAGGTCATACTGGGAGTTAAGCACGGAGCCTTCTGGACTATGTGTTCACATGAATAGAGGCTGTGTGTGTGTGTGTGTGTGTGTGTGTGTGCGTGTGCGTGTGTGTGTGTGTGTGTGTGTGTGTGTGTGTGTGTGTGCGTGTGCGCGCGTGTGTGTGTGTGTGTGTGTGTGTGTGTGTGTGTGAGTGGGTACATGACAGAGCAAAATGACCACAACTGTTAGGAGCCTCCACACGTCAGCTTAACCAAAAACCATTGAGTGTAAGGCCTTAGGAAGAGACCAAGAGTCTTCACTTCATGTTTCTTTCCACCACTCGTCTCTACTTCCTCACCATTTCTTCTCCCAGGATCTTTCTACCACACACACACACACACATACACACACTCACACACACACACACACACACACACACACACACACACACACACACACACACACACACACACACACACACACACACACACACACACACACACCGCTACATGGCTCTTTCTGTGATGAAGGTACACACTCAGTTCAGGGGGAGGTTGGGTGTCCCTCGGTGAATTCCATCAAAGCTCCTCTTCCAACCAGCCATAAAGTTTCCTGCATATCTAAACACTATCGCATTTCCTGCATCTGTTGGTCTTTTCTTAGCATGTGTGTGTGCAAGCGTGCGTGTGTGTGCACAGACACACGTCTGTGCTTACTCATGTAGCACAGGTGTGTCTATATTTTATAGATAGAAAAAAAAATCTGGTATTTTTTTCTGTTTGTTGGATTTTTATTGACAATGTTTCTGCTAGTTTTGTTTTCCGTGTCTCATAATTTTTATTTTCTACTCTCACCATAAACTGCAGTGTTAGACATACGATATGGGATGGCCAGGCCAATCAGCTGCCAGCTGTCAAGTCAGCTGTCACATTTGAAGCATTCAATTTATTTAGGCATTAACACCTCATCTGTGTGTGTGTGCATGCATGTTTTTGCATGTATGCCTGCGTGCCTGTATGCGCGTGTGTGTGATTGTGTGTGTTTTAAATTGGAAGAAAAGACAGTCCTTGTCCAGACTGCAGATGATGCTCATCTGTGGTAATGTGTCGGCAACAAATGGTGTGTTGGGAATACCAAGTAATTACCCAGTCTGCAGAAACCTTTGAGTGTGTATGTGTGTGTGAGAGAGTTGCATGTATGTTCCTTTGGGTTTCTATAGAATTATTGGAAATATAAATCTCATTTTGCACAAATGCTTTATAATTGCCGTGGACAATTTGGATTGTCCTCCGTTTGTGTGTGGATGTATGCAAAGAGAAAAGAAGAAAGGGGGTTTAGAGAATACCTGTGCTGCTGATGAAGTCAAACTAAGCATTTACACATTTTTGTTTGATATGTTGCCTTTAAAAAAGTGTGTAACCATAACAAATGTATGTTCATGTTAGTGTGTACGGGTACATGTGATTCTCCGATCTCTGTTTCGTCACGCCTGGCTCCCCATGACACCATGATCTCTCATGAGCACTGAGCTGCGACCTCATGGTTCTTTTTTGCTTTTGCTCCAACTATTCCTCCTCCTCTGTCCTTGT